CTCCTCCATCGCCAGCAGCGGGTGGTTCGAAAGTGTCAACAAAGGCCCTACTCACGCACCCTCTGCCAACCTGTGAAACCAGGTAAGCATTGCACCGCACACGCAGACCCCTCTTCGGTCCGCTCACAAGCCGCCCGAGTTGGGTCCCTGTGTTCCATCTCGCTGCCCCACTGCGAGTACGGTGGTGGTTCCATTGGTCCCACTTGCACGGTATCTGGGTGCCTGGCTAGCGCTACCCAGCCCGTCTCGCTGGCTTCTGCGGACCATCAGCCTCGGCTATGCGATTCAGTTCGCCCGGCGTCCCCCCAAGTTCAGTGGCATCCGCTTCACGACAGTGAAGGTGGCCGATGCTCCTGTCTTGCGTGAAGAGATTGCAGTCCTACTGGCGAAGGATGCAATAGAGCCGGTCCGTCCAGCCGATATGAAGACGAGTTTTATAGCCCCTACTTCATTGTACCCAAGAAAGGCGGTGGGTTACGACCAATCTTGGATCTGCGTGTCTTGAACTGGGCCCTTCACTGGTTACCGTTCAAGATGTTGACGCAGAAACGCATCTTCGGGTGCATCCGTCCCCGAGATTGGTTTGCAGCGATCGACCTGAAGGACGCCTACTTTCATGTGTCGATCCTTCCGCGCCACAGACCATTTCTGTGGTTCGCGTTCGAAGGACGTGCACACCAGTACAAGGTCCTGCCCTTCGGGCTGTCCCTGTCCCCCCGTGTCTTCACGAAAGTCGCAGAGGGGGCTCTTGTTCCCATCAAGAGAGCAGGGTGTTCGCATCCTCAACTATCTCGATGATTGACTTATACTAGCACAGTCTCAGGATCAGTTGTGCGAGCACAGGGACCTGGTGCTCTGGCATCTCAGCCAGTTGGGTCTTCGGGTTAACTGTGAAAAGAGCAAACTCTCCCAGACGCAGAGGATCTCATTTCTCGGTATGGAGTTGGATTTGGTCGAACAGACAGCATGCCTCACAGAGGAACGTGCACGGTGGGTGCTGAACTGCTTGAATTCATTCAAGGGCAGGACGGCGGTCCCACTGAAACTATTTCAGAGGCTCCTGGGGCATATGGCAGCTGCAGCGGCAGTTACGCCGCTAGGGCTGCTTCATATGAGACCGCTTCATCACTGGCTTCATGGCCGAGTCCCGAGGTGGGCATGGCAGCGCGGCACTCACCGGGTCCAAGTTACACCGGCATGTCGCCAAACCTTCACCCCATGGTCAGAGCTTACATTCCTCCAGGCCGGAGTGCCCCTAGAATAGGTCTCCAGGCATGCTGTGGTTTACACGGATGCCTCCACCACCGGCTGGGGTGCCACGTACAACGGGCACGCAGTGTCGTGGGTATGGACAGGCCCCCAACTGCACTGGCAAATCAATTGCCTAGAGTTGTTACCGGTGCGCCTTGCCTTGAACCGTCTCAAAGGGTGTTTACGAGGCAAGCACGTGCAAGTGGTCTACGCTCCCATCGCATGTCGCAACTCACCCGCCACCTCGGAAGGTTCTGAGGTCACTTCATGCCATTCACATTCCGGGTCTGCTCAACCATACGACCGACGAGCTGCCAATGTGCATTGACTCGTTTAGTTACACTCGAAGTAGGTTGGTCTCTCGAAGCGAGATCCCAATTCGTCGGTCACCGACGTGACGTCTCCGTTCCCTCCTTCAGGGAACGAGGGTTACATACGTAACCGAGACGTTCTCTTCTCAGGGAACTATTGTTATATGCGTAACCTGAGATGTTTTTTCTGCATTTGTTGCTCATAGCAATAAATAAATTACCTCTATAAATGCTGGTTATTCTTAAGTATATTTCCCACACAAATAACAATGATGGTTCTGTGTGAACAACAATATTCACACATACAGTGGTGTTCAGTAGAGTCACACTGTAAATATGGTATTCAAAGTCTAATTAAAACATTAAAATATTTTTTTTAAACTTTAAGATTATGCACTATGATAATTAAATACAGATTTTTATCTGAATGTTAAAAAATGATTATGTACTGTTTAAAAAAACTGAAAAATGACACTTCTTGCCCAAAAGGTTGCTGACCCCTGATCTAATGTTAGTTGTCTTTTACCTGGAGACTCAATTAAGTAACAAAAAATGTCGGGAAACGACATCTCTGGCCATTCCATTGGGTCGTTTGCCCAGTCACAGATACTGTATGGACAGTCCGGCCCAATACAGCTCAGTTTTTCTATGTATCTTGCTCTGTCGAGTGGCACAAGCAATTCTGTGTAGACCATACTGGGTTATCGCCATGCTTTTCCAGTCAGGGTAAAGGATTGTTTTCCCCCACTCCATGTTTGTGCTTTCCACAAACACATTGCAAAGTATTACCAGTCTTATTGAGCATTTTTTCCCATTGCTTTTATGACAGATTCTTGTTATGACCCTTGTGTAGGGTTGGGAATCGAAAACCTATTCCAATTCTGGAATGGGATACTTAAGGTCAGGATTCAGATACTTGTTGTAAAATTACATTTCTGGGGTGCAGCTCTGCTGCTGACCCAGTGCTTCACGTGTTGTCTTTTTGTTTGTTTTTATTTTTATTGTTTTTATATAGTTATCTTAATTAATTTAACATTTTTTTTGACTCAACATTCCAGTGATACGAGATATTCTACTGACTCAACATGAAGATTCGTGGTTTTATGGTCTGGTTGGCGGTATGTTTGGCAACATTCCTAATTGCGGCCAGCTCAGGAGTTAATATTATGAATGGAATCCTTGCCTACACCAGGAATTGTTGCTTCTTCTACCACAGTCACAACCCGGCTTCCTACAGATTAATTTACTGGAAGATTGCAATGAATTGCTAAGGAATCCTAGGACAAAGGAGCAAAAAAGCATCCATCTAAGAAGAAACGAGGAAGAAACAAGTGTGTACTGCAAATTATGAGCTCTTGTCCATGTACTTTAGAACCTTTTATCTACCATGGGAATTTGGACAGATCACCGTTATTTTAATTTATGTGATGGGACCGGACAATGTGGAAGCTGGAAATAGTATAGCGAATAGTTATAAAAATGCTCTGGGGCATGCTCTTCTGACCAACCGATTTTAATTCTAGGAGATGTGAATTCTTGTGATTTATCAAGACATTTGCCTACACTCCATCAGTATGTGGAATGTCCCACTCGATCTGGACAAATGTTTCGTCAATATAACAGATGGCAATAAGGCTGTATGCTGCCCCCTCTTTCGGGAAGTCAGATCAAAATATTATACATTTGTTACCCAAATATCGAGCCAAGCTTAAACGCGAGAAACCGGTGATTAAAGAGATACAACTGTGGACAGATCAGAGTAAAGAGGAACTTAGAGACTGTTTTGATGGAACTGATTGGCAACTGTTCTTTGATGCATGCGAGGGAATATATGAGGGAAAGACAAAAACAATTAAATGATATTTATACAACTAAAGTTAAACAAAAAGCTTTAGTTATTATAGAGGATTCATTACACACTTTGCACTGCCAGTTTTAGGTAACCTCGGGCAATTACAAATGTGTATCAGATGTCAATTTGCCAACTGCAGTTAGAATTTTAAATGCTGATACATGAATATTAATATGTATGCAGATATATGTACATATGGGAATGTATATATGTATGTGTATGCTAAAGTTTTTTTTGAGTCTATATTGTATTGGATTTTTTCTTTATTTTATTTTTAGAGTTGTTGTGTATTGGTCTTGACAAATTTCCACTTTTTTTCCACTAGACAATAAAGAAAAGTAAAAAATAAAAAAAAATACCCCCTATCAATTCCTGTATGCACATTTTTTCTTCTGTGTTTATAAGCGTAGCGCTGCTTTGTTTACAGTGGTAACCAAGGAAACTCAGTATCACTGTTGTTCCATAAGCGCCACCTGCTGGCAGAGAGTGAATTTGGGTCTCATTCAGTCTGTCTACTGTTACGTAGTTTTATGCAGAACAATTTCACAAAGCTTGTCAGAGCTAAGTCAGACCATTGTTTTTGCTTCAAATTTTCTGTACAAGTGCATTTTCTGCTGGAAAATGTGGACATGATATTTCTTAAAAAAAATTAAAAAAAATCCAAGCTAGGAAAGAGCACAGGCAAAGCCTTAGTTTTATTACATGAAGAGATTTATTTTATTTGCATTAGTAATTAATTAATTTATTTGATTTGGGATTTGTTTTAAAACTTATTTTTGTTACTTGACATTAAAGATATATAAATTTCACAGAAATGTGCAGAATTTTGTCCGAGAAACAATAAAAGGACACCTTTTTCATTTAGAATTGGTCTTAAATCACATTTTGTTACAATAATCATATTGTGAAACCAAAATTGTTCATTGTGAGTTGAGTGAATTGTTACATTCCTACTTCTCCTGTTTTACTGATTTTTTTTGTTCATGGTATTCAGCTGCTACTAAATGTTTTTGCAAAAATAGACAAAACAATAAATATCTTTGATATCTAAATGTTTGATTCATTTTTTTGGTTCCGAAACTGGGAATTGTTAAGAATCGGAATAAATAAGTAGAATCGGAATCGGATTTGATAAAATTCTCTCCCTTGTGCCTGTTTACTTGGATCACGTTTATTGGATTACTGCTTTTTGCCTGTCTGGACTAACTATCTTAATCATCAACCATTACCTGTATTTCTGACCATCCATATGCCTGTTGATTTGGATTTACTGTTTCAATAAACTTCTGCAAATAGATTCAAACCCAACATCAAGCCTGAGTCTGTTACATGACGTGCACCAGACTGATTAATTTAACTTTAAAATGTATACAATTTTACCCCTAGAGGGACAGAGGTCCGCCCCCATAGTTACACTAAATTCTGTAGAACTACCTAATAATGAAAAAAGTGTTTTTTTAATTGTTAATAATTGTCTATCCATTTCAGACATAATGTCATGGAAATACATGAGAAAATGCAAAATCAAACATGATACATTAAATATACTGGATACATAATACACTAAAAGAAAGCATGTTGTTCACCTTCAGCTGATGTGTAATGACATCAGTATTCATGGCATTTTCCCATCCATTTCTTGCATCTTTAGAGGAAAGGTTTTTATCATAAGGAGCAGGCCCTGTCAATGATAACAAAATGTAACATTTCTTGAATTTATGTGGCAGGAGATCAATATGGCATGTGGAAATGTAAGTTGAGTTTTGGGAACTCTTACACTGGCTGGCCTGATGGGGATCAAGTAGACTGTGGATGGTCAAATGGATGGTACTGATCGTATCATCCACTCCTTTACCCAGAGCTCTAATCAGCTGCTCCATGTCCTTCAAAAGATGGGCCATCAGGAATGGCCCGGGATCCGGCACAGCAGGCTTGATGATCTGCATGACACTCTACACAGACACATGCAAGAATATGGAATGAAGATAGTTAAAGTTGCTCTCACTAAGTTACCCTATCTCAGGGGTGTCCTGGAGAGTTTACAGTTTGGACACCCATGTCTTATCTATAATCTAAGTGTAATATGTTATTGATTTTTGGTGAACAATTGATTTGTGCATGCACAGTTCAATTTTCTCACTTTTTTTTAATTATTAGAAATATATTTTACCTGCATCATTATGCTTCACCCAGGGCTAGTTAATTAAAGAACAAATATACATAGTTGTATGCTCTTCGTTGTGTGCCAAAATATAAATGTTATGAGCAGCACTTTCGATATTATAAAAAAAGAAGCACAGTTTGAAAGCAGCATGATGGTAAAGTCACAAATTATACGTAATAAAACGCAGTACAACACAACTGCATTATCAACCAATGTTGAAATTTCTCTCACCAAATTCCACTGGCAAAAACCTTCTATACAGAAAATCACCAACATAAAAACTAGAGGGAGACATATAAAATAAATAGAAATAATAAATAAATAGAAACAAAAGCACAAAATAATCAGGATACAAATGCATGTGTAGCAAACAGTATGTTTTTTTCCTGAGAACTCTTACACCCCTAGTGCATGTGTTCATTTTTTTTTTAAAGATGTTAATCTCATAATGTCTAATTGGTGTGTCACTGGACAGTCTTCTCTCTGGTGATGTATGCAGGGCTCCAGTCCACATCTGCCTCCATTATTGAGTGCAAAGCCCACATCTTAAAATTCAATCAACAACTGATCCATAGAACCAAGTCCCCACCCTATATATATATATATATATATATATATGCACTGCAAAAAATGCTTTTCAAGCTTAGATTTTTTGTCTTGTTTCCAGCCAAAATATCTAAAAATTCTTAAATCAAGAAGTATTTTCTAGACAAGTACAAATTATTGTGTTGTTTTCAGAAAAAACTGTTAAATTGAGTTTGTCAATTAAGTGAGTTTTTGCTTGAAACAAGCAAAATAATCTGCCAATGGGGCAAGCAATATAATCTTGTTTTCTGTTTGAAATAAGATTATTTTGCTTACCCCATTGGCAGATTATTTTGCTTATTTTCCTTCTTGATTTGAGATTTTTGAGATATTTTGGCTGGAAACAAGACAAAAAAATCTAAGCTTGAAAAACATTTTTTGCAGTGTGTATATATATATATATATATATATTATTTTTTAATTTTACAAATTAGTTTTAATTGAATGTATATCACATTAAGGTAGAAAAGATATGTTTCTACTTTTGACAAAAATGTCTCTTGGAGTGAAGTCCTAAATACAACAGGAAGTCAGCCATTGTGAATTTCATCTGTGACTTTTGTGCAGTTTTTGCCATTTTCAGGCCTTGTACTTTAATGTACTCCTCCTACAGTTTTAATCGGATCATCTTCAAATTTGCTGAGTGTAATCATAAGGCCTTTGCGATGCTAAATTGCGAAGACTTCACGTTTGATAAGAGTCCTGGCCTGAAGACATCTACATGCCCATATTCGATTATAGTCATAGCACCACCTACTGGCAACAGGAAGTGACATATGGACTCCTAGCAACATATTAAAAAGCGTCAGCAAGTGTTAAATAGACTGGAAACATGCTAGAAACATGCTAGCAACACTTAGCTAATTTGCTAAAGCATGCTATTAATGCAATGAAACAGGAAATTGCTGAAACTCTGGTTTTATGAAATACACAATGGGCTCAAGATTGGTTAGCTGGTCCAGTGTGTTGTGATTCGCTAAACCGCCTCTAGTGTGCAGAAACGTCATGCTCCTCACCTCAGTGGCATGTGCTCCAGTGTTGTGTTGTAAACAATGGTGTCGTCAATATTGCTTATCAATTTGAGCCTGAATGAGAATATTAGTAAAGAGCATCGCGCAGAACCTGAGCAAGCACGGCTCTTACAGGACGTTTCAGAACGGTGTGTTTTTTTGTTTGTTGTTGTCTCATATTTTTAGATAGGCTGATATTTGTAAATGCTACTACTTATGTTAGCTTTTAATATGTTATGTTATATTTTAATATATCCTGATTAAAGCTTCAATACAGCAGAATACATGATTGCACTGTAGCATTTTTTTTAAGTAATTGTTTAATTTGTGACAGTAACAAGTGTTTGCCAGCAAGTATTGCTTGCTACCACAGCAACCGCGTGCACATCCACGTTTAACGCTTCTCGTAGCTACAGTATGTGAAAAAGATTTTTTTTGTGCACTCCTAGTTTTGACGGCATGGCAACACTCTTCCTCTTCTCTAAAGCAGCGCAACATGGCCTCGTCCCCTTCGTTGCGTGTTCCCGGGGGCAGGGTTTATGTAAATTTCAGGGTTAGTGATGTCACCAACCCGGGAAGAAGCTCGTTGTAGTCCCTACCAGCCGTAACTGTAGGCATTAAACTGCCATAATTTTAAAAGACAATATCTCCATTTCAGCATCATAACTTTTCAGCGTCGTAACTTTGCAGATGTTGTTTATGCTCAAACAGCAACATTACACACTAACTAAAGTTAAAAAAGTGAAATCGCAATCAACCACCCCTTTAACATATTTGATGTACTGAATTTCGTACACGTAGAGAAACGTAGCATAGCATATCTAAAGTGTGTTTTATTACCATGGTTTAGTTATTTTTTACTAATGCTCATCAGATCACATTGTTCAGTGAAAAATTTATAGAAATAATGATTCTGTCTAAATAAACATGGGTATCACTTTATAATAACAATACAGTTATAAAGTATGTACAAATTATTTGCAAACTATTTGTTTATAGTTAACGGCCTGGGGTCGGCAAAGGCGCCGGCGGGAGCACTTGCATATTTACCAGATGACAGCAAAAAGAACTTAAACTGCTTTTTATTCATTCATTTTAGCTTGACATTTATGTTTTTTAGAATGAATGCCACTAAAATGCTATAAAATGCTCGTCCAATCAAAATGTTCGGTCAGAACATTACGATAGGCTGTCCTGCCTGCCTGTCAAAATATGTATTTGCATACCTCTGCGCACGCCATCTCTCCTCGCATCGCTGGTTAGTCTGCCTGTGCGCATTCATGTGTTTTGGAGGAGGCGTGGCTTTGCAGACTGATTATCCTGGGAGGGTGGTCCAAAATCGCCTACCCTACCATTAAGTTTGAGATTAAACCCGTTTTTGAACCTTTTATCTCTCCTAGACAGCACTCCATGAGAGAATCTTATCTAGAAAGATCTTCTGTCTCAGGTATGGTGCTTGACTGACCACCCACTGAGGAAGCCCAAGTCATAAACTCTGGTCTCTAAAACAACGTTTTGAGACTATCCTGAATGCTGGAGCTGCCTCCACTAGGAAACTATATGCCCTGAAATGGCAGCTCTTTGCATGGAGCACACAGGGGCAATATATTTTTTATTAATATATTAATTAGTATACTCAACAATTTTTTGGAAGCTCTAACTCACACTAAATATTTTGGAAGGCAATTGGAATTTTACTTGAGTATATTTTTTAGTACTGTTTCCACATCTGCATGTCACAAAACCATAAACGGGCAGAAAGAATGTAATACCTGTGTGTTGTTTTGAGCTCCCAGCAGCATGCACATGTGTGTGAGCAGTCTGAGAAGAGCGAAGGGAGCAGGTGACATATTCTTAGTGTCCTGCATGTCAGGCTGGTCACGACGTTGTGCATCACTCAGAATGTGTCCAGACTGAGTACGGTCCGCTCTGAAAAGAGGAACAATTGCCTCAAACTCATGAAACAACTGAATAAACAATTACCACTAAAACAGATACAGCACCATTTTGTAGGGAAATTTTCAGCCAAAAAAAGAAAATCACAAGTTCTGTAAAGACATTAAATAACACTTTACGAAAAAGGTTCTATACATTAACATCAATGCATTTAATAATCTTGGTTAATTTTGATTAAACTACGTATATTAATCCTTTTTCTTTTCGAGCTTTACAAATTTGCATTAATGTATCATTATATTAATAACCTACAATTAATCTTTATTAATAAATGCTATAAAAAATCCTGTTCATTATTAGTTCATGATACCCAATGCATAACTAACGTTTCCAAATTGAACCTGACTGTAAAGTGTTCCCAGAAATCCATACAGAGGAACAAGTTATATGGTGAATGACCAATCAGAATCAAATATTTCAGACTGCCAGGTAATAAACTAAACTGAATTAAAAAACACATAAATTAATAACAACAAGCATTTGGCGCAAGAGTAACTCACTGTATCTGCATGGTTTGGAAGCCGTCAACAGGTTTGTGGTCTATGCCGCCTATTTCTGCATTACACTCTAGACAGCGGCCAACCTCCATGGGCAGACCACACTGGACAGATGCATGAAGAGAATGAATTTTTAATTTGACAAAAATCATAACAATTTGATCATATTAAATTAAAACTAATTCTGTGTTCTGCGACTTTTAATGTATGTAGTTAATGCTATGCCGAATCATAGAAATTAAATTACCCTACCATATCAACAATGCATGGATGACCATTAGGACAGGCTGTTAAAAACAAAAGAAGATGTTAAGAATTGATTTAAAAACAGGATGTAGAAATGTTCAAATACAGAACCACTTGTCAATGCCAAGGATCTGTCAAAATTCCACCCCCTTGTTTCCCAAAGCAATTCTATTGGCTAAAATCAGTTTTAGGATATTTCGTATCTGATTAGAAATCCTGCAAGTCTATATAACAATAATCCTACAAACCTTATTGGTCTGTGTAATATTACAAAACAAAACTGCATCAGTCAAAAAGTTCTGAAAAAGGTTTTCTTTTATTTTTTTTACTTCATTATTATTAATAGGTAACACATTATTTGAAGGGTCTATGATTATGCATTAGTTAAGCACGAACACACTAGTAATTAATGATTAACTTAACACTTAATAAATGAATATTAGCCATTATTTACTATTTATTAAAAATTTGAAAGGTCCACATTCATGCAATAAATAAGCTAGTAATTAATGATTAACTGAAGGTACATGCCTTTTAGCCATTATTTACAACGTAGAAAACCATAAATTATTTTTGTGTAGTAATGCACTTGTGTATATTTCAGTTGTTCACCATCTATTCACTTAACTGAACAATATTAAGCTAGTAATTATGTTTAATTAGTGCTGGTTTTACAGTTATAAATTGCTAAAACAGTGTAATAAAGACAATTTGACCCCGTTTTTAAAGTGAATGTTATATCCACATTAATTATCGCACTTATTGAATGATATTCAAGTTTATTGACTAGAATGAGGCAATAATTATGGCTAAACTGCCACTAATACAATATTAATAAAGAAAATTTGACTCCGTTCTAAAGATCCGATTCTCATTTACACTATAAGTTTGTTTATCAGTTACTATGCAACATGATCTCACGAGAATGCTCGTTTTAAAGGATTACATAATGTTAAACAAGACTACACTATAAAACTTTAAAATGAGTAACATTTCTGTAATCGTTTAACCATTATTTATCCTCTAATACTTGTTTTGTTCGCCGTGGGACACATAAGGCGTTTTCTCAGTATAGTCCTATGCTGTGACTGACAAAAAAAACACAAAATACACCAAAACGCAATATAAATTCACAAACGACATCAATATAATTCACTCGCTGTAATCCGCATCTTTGGAATCCATACGATTGAGATGAACAGATCCAAATTCAAGCCTTTATTCGGCTATCTTCATCTCCATTCTCAGCAGCGATGTAAACGTCTAAACCGCGGTTGTTATGAATTCAAAAATGCCAAAAAGCTTGAAACAACACATTTTATGGCAGTAATATCAAACGCTCATTGGCTCTCACCTGGTTGGGTTTAAATGAGTGAAGCGAAGCGGGATATAATTTTTGTCGATTAATATCTTACATTCTTCTCTGTACCTCATATATAAAACTATTATACCGCGACTGCGGCTGCAACACATCATCATTTGAACGGCTTTAGGTACCGCTTTTGACATTTTGGCAATAAATTAAATATTGTGATTACAGTTGTTTGTTTGTTATGTTTTTCTTCATAACTGTCAATTTTTAAAAAATGGTTATGGTTATTAAGTTTAGAGGTTTGATTGGGGTTAGCGGCTCAAAATATCTTCTCAATGCTATAGTGTTACTAAAATTGTTATTTTCTTACACATTTCTGTCCATTATGTTTTATATCTTCTTTTTATATTCTCTGTATAATGGTTTTGTTTTTGTTTGGGGTTGGGTTTAGGGATTTAACATTTAAATTATAAAGATATTTTATGATATAAAAGATTTGCAACTATTTAACATTTTTTAGATGTAAAACGTAATAATGTTTACATTTAAATGTTGCCAATACGTCCATTTTAGCATCTATCCGAAGGAACAAGTATATATATACTGTATATATTGTGACTGTAAAAGTTACCTCTTAATACCTACGTAACAATGCGATTATTATTTGCTTTTTCTAGTCAATAAACTTGAATATCACTCAATAAGTCCAATAATTATATGGACATAACTTTCACTTTAGAACAGGGGGTCAAATTGTCTTTATTACACTGTTTTAGCAATTTATAACTGTAAAACTCAACTCAACCTTGCCAAGACAGAACTGCTTGTGGTTCCAGCAAACCCATCGTTTCATCACAATTTCACCATCCAGTTAGGCTCATCAACCATAACTCCTTCAAAAACAAAGGCCACCTAATACACCTGTTAGGCTAACCAAGACTTGTTTTAGCACTTGCATATCATTGCACTTTTGCTGATTTTGATTGCTTCTATTGTCCTCCTTTGTAAGTCGCTTTGGTTATAAGCATCTGCTAAATGACTAAATGTAAATGTAAAACCAGCACTACTTAAACAATTACTAGCTTCATATTGTTCAGTTAACTTAATAGATGGTAAATAACTGAAATATACGCAAGTGCATTATTACACAAAAATAATATATGGTTTGCCAAGTCGTAAATAATGGCTAAAAGTTGTTTACTGTACATTCAGTTAATCATTAATTGCTAGCTTAATTTTGCTTATTTATCGAATGAATAACTTACTATATGTTAAGTTATTCATTAATTACTAGTGTGTTCATGCTTAACTAATGCATAATTCTGGACCCTTAAAATAAAGTGTTACTTTATTCATATATGCACTTTGTCTTATATTCATTAAAAAAAAATGAAATATCTTGCTCCACCTCTGAAATGACTTTCCTTTTCGCCTTAATTTTCCCAACTGAAAAGACACCCAAAATAACAGTACAATTATTTATTTATTTACTTTTTGTAATACCCTGGGAAACCATTTTGAATATACAGTGGGTACGGAAAGTATTCAGACCCCCTTCAATTGAATACTTTCCGTACCCACTGTATTATCCTATATTACCACAATTCCAATCATGAAGTTCTGCTTCTTGTGTTACATGATTTATTGTGGCCTTTCTGCTCAGGCATTAACTACTGGGTCTCCAGGTGTATATAATTTTGACAAATCTTGAATTTTGCATGACACAGAATCCACTCACAATACCACTGGACTTTCAAGCCATTCGGGCCTTTTATGGCCTGCTGGGCAACAGCCAACATGTCGTCCGGCATAGTTGGAATGAATGAAGCCTGTAAGGAGAACATGACAGAAATATCACATAAACACTCTAGCCACCATGTGACTCCATGACGTCATAACGTGAAGGGTTCATACCGTCATGTTGTTTGGGGACAGTGCCAGCTGCTGCAGTGGCTCCAGTAAAGGCAGATTTCCACACAGCAGGACTGCAGCCATGTGAACTGTAACCTCCATCAGAAGCAGCTCTCTGCCTGACATCTGAGGTTGTGCACGCAGAGCATGTAGATGATTATTCACCAGTCCTTTAGCAAATGCTTTTGTTTCATCATTGACAAAGATGTCTGTGCTTCTGATAAAATCTTCAAGGCCAGCACGTTGCTATAGAAAACAAAAAATGCATGAATATCAGACATAGGGATATACATTTATCAAAAAGGTGACATATTAACATAACTTTCAGTATTGATCATTAACAAACATTGTACAATGTGTGTTATTATGTTAATATATATTCAATTAGCATTTAGGGGATTGGTGACTTGCTCTAGGGCACCTAAGTTGTGGGTATTGAAGGTGGAAATGATCAGGTGGTATAGGTAGGTTTAAGGGTTTGTTAATATTGAGTGTGATACAGGAAAGTTTAGGGCCAGGTTTGGTGGGATGGGTAACTTTATGGGTTGGTTAGGGGGCCGAAAGTACAAAAAAGACAATTTGACTACAATACGAGAACACTGTTCAAACTGTTTATATACATAAATCAAGTATTTTCATGAAAAAAACTGATTTGTTTTCTCCTGTTCTATGATTCAAAGAATACACTGTTTAAGGATATAGCCCACTAAGTGTTAAGGCAATAAAAACATGTTTTGCAAATAACAATGTGTTGCGTCTTTAGCAAGCATTTAACTAAATTAACCATCCTTTACACAGACTTTTTACAACCATTAAGTCCAAGGCCTATAAAGGTCCTGAATCAATAGTAAACATTTATAAACATTTACAAATGATGAATATTCTCAACTTTAGGTTGAGTAGTGCAAAAACATGAACAAATGATTAATAAATTAACTGCACAAAAGTGTAAATAGGGTAAATTCAGGTCATTTGGGACACATTTTGCCATTGAGATGATTGCTCATAAAGGCAATTTTTTTTTTTTACATTAATAATGATCTGTTATTAAATATTTAATAAGTCTATTTAAATATTTGTGTGCTGTGTTAACTAAAATCATTTTTTTTTTGAAGTATATACAGTATTATTGATGTTCAGCCATGAAATGTAAGGGATCAAACCTTAATAAAGCTTTTGATGAAGCAATGAGTCTGAAATGATCACATATCGTTTTAAAAAATAAACGCCACACATTAATTTTTTTTAAATCTTCAAAAAATTAGCAGAGTGACAGGTGCTACACACACAGCCATGAACAGCACTTGGTCTGACATACCACATTTTACTCCAGCACCCATTATCCTGTCGTTTGAAATAATAGTATACATCTTGCTTTCTCCTTATTATGTCACTGTAATTCTGATCACCCAACATGCAATCTGTGAACCCAGCGTCATCTGTGTATTAAATGCTTGTTGGAATAAAAAGGAAGTTTTGAGTTCCATTAGTTACAGTATGTTTTCTTTGTAAATGAATGTCTTTTATTTGAAAATATCAAGGACATCCCTATTTGACATGAGCCCTTTAATCATGACCATTTTACTAGGAAGCCTGATGTAAACATTAAGTCATACTGTTCTTCCAAAACCATGTCACAGTACTTCAGATTCGTAAAGCACAAATGTTTTGTTGTGTAGCATATGTTTGTGTTTTTACCTCAGATTTAGGGTCCGAGTTGGGGTTTCCATTTCTGTACAGGAAGGTGACTTCTCTGAACAAAGCCATTAGCAGATAAACAGCTTTCTTCATGGGTGTGCTTTTGCAATGCTTCAAACAAATATAAAAGCAAATAAACAATTTATCAGAGTGAGGAAGAGAAATAGCATTTAATTAATTTAAGCATTTAATTATAGTGTCCAGACAGACACAATAGCTCTGTTCCAAAACCTAGTCTCGCTACAGTCTAATGTGGCATCCAATCCCAACTGAAACTTCACAAATGATGTAAAAAAAAATTATGTTGATAGTCATTGGCATACAGATGAATTCTGCCCTATGTGGCTCTCTATGTTTGGGACATACATAGTGTGTGTATGTGTGTGTAAATAAGCATATCAATACCTCAATCGCTTTCTGTATTTCATTCATGTTGCAATCCATCATGGCTTTGGTTACTGCATCTCTAATAGTTTTGTAGTCCAGTCCACATGCTACATAGTGGTCAATTTTGTTGTCATCTTGATTCTAAGAGAAACAAATGTAGCAGTTAAAGCACAAATACTTGTGACTCATGTCAGCATTGTGAAGTAAATCAACCAAAACCCACCATATTAAGAATCTCCTGAGGAAACAGCCAACTGAACTCTTTCTGTGACAGAAGTTTCTGGACATATTCAACCCCATGAAGGCTGCAGATCTTTCTGATGAGGTAAACCCTGTACCAGTCATTACTGCTCTGGCAGCATAGATCATTCACACTGTTCAAAAACGCTGAGGTAATGGATGGAGGATCATCCTGTGCACCTAAACCATGAGAAACATTATCAATATCAAGGGAAAACGTTCAAATATGATACACTACTTTCTCAGTTTCAGTTAATACAAAGTGCTCTAACCTTTCATGGCAAGTGATAAGCATTTGTTGTTCTTTGTTGAATTTATGAACTTGCCCAGGTCATATTTCAACTGATGGTGGGAAATGCATTTAATTGTCATTCATTTGTACTTTTGACGGAATTGCTTGGCAACTTTATTAAATATTTTTATTCAACAAATAATATTTGATATAAATAATAGTAGTATTTAATAATAGTATTTGGCATTGAGAAATGGTGTGCAAGTTAAGGTGATTTTGTTTACATTGTTATGCCATTAGATGGAGACACGAGAATCAGCAGTAAAGACTTTTATATTGAAAGAGACTGAAACGCTGATGTAAACAAGGAACTTATTTTTACTCTCAACAACAGCTTGTAATCGGAGTCAACAAATGGAAATCACCCTTAACAGATGAAAGGATAGTACGACAAAGATATTGCTTTCCTCAGCGGACATTCAAACTAATGTTTTATTGTGAATATGAGATTGAGCTGAAGAATGGAAGAGAGATTTGAAACAAAATGGTTTTTTAAAGACACTTCATGGTTGTTTCTTATTTACTTACTTTTCCCATCGATCTGTTGTATAAATGGAATCACACTTAATATATTGCATTTAAACAGCCTGTCGCTTCATGCCTACGGGCAAATCACATCCATGCTGATATGCGATACTCTGCAATACTGCTTATTTATTCATCCAATGGCACTTTTAGCTCTGCTCATCTAATATGCATTTATTGATTGATTGATAAAAACATTTAAAGAATTTAAAAAAATCATGGTCAAGCACCTGGCTAGTAAAAGCAAACACTAAAGCATTTACCAGCACTAGGCACTCTGTTAAAGGGCAGGTCAGCAGCCATATCCAGGCACAATCGAACTCTGGCCACCTGCTGCAGGTGCTCTATAGATGCAGTGTGTGCAGACACAGAATCAGAGTGAAGGAACTCCAGCAGAAAGCGTGTTTCCTCCTGCAAACAGATCTGCTGCTCCGCCACAGAGTGCCATTGTGTCCGATCATACATTGAGTCCTGCAGACACAGGAGAAACATACAGTACTTTTAACCAAGCTTTAAATATATACAGTAACATATGTGTTAATATATTCAACACCATTTCTTAAGAAATTAAACACTGAAAACACAACTAACATTTTATTAATTAGTAAAAAATGTAATTAATTTAGTTGTTTTCCAGTAAAAACATCTACACGTTTACAACATACATTTACTTTAGAACTTACTTTCTCTTTACATTTGTACATCTTTAAGCATAAAAAAAACTAACAAATAAATATATAAAATTGGTAAGGATTATGCACAGAAAATTCAATTACAACATATACTTGCAATCCCAGTCAAATGTTTGTACATACTGGATATAATTTATTGTTTGCATAGTTAACACATATTTTAACTGTTGCTTGAAATGGGTTTTGTAGAAAAATATTATTTGCACCCATGTATGTATTTCTCTGACCAACTTAAAAATTGTATTAACTTATTATCATTATTAAAAGAGGTAAATTCAAGTGCATGGTGAAGAGAAAAAAATATATAAAAATTTTCAGAAAACACTGAAAATTCTCCAAAACTTCTTTAAAAGCAGCCCAGGACGCACCTTATGAAGTTGGCTTAGAGAAGCCCAAAAAGTGCAGAGATGGAATCTAGTAACCCTTTAGAATAAGGAACACATATTCACTATTAACTAAGAGTTTTTCCTCAATAAACTCCTAATTAGCTGCTTAAGGTAGTTGTTAAGTTTAGGTATGATGTGCATTAAGGGATCTAAAATATCCTCATGCAGAATAAGGCATTAATATGTGCTTTATAAGTACTAATAAACAGCAAATATACTAGTAATATGCATGAAAATAAGCAACTAGTTTTTAGTGAGAATAGGTCCTTAAAGTGTTAGTGACCAATTATAGCTCATACATAAGACAAATGTCCAGCTTCATTAGAAAAGACAGCACTAACCTGTATAAACCAGCCTTTGATTAGCGTGCCATTTCTGCAGTAAAAATACAGAAAGCAGAACCGCTGCAAGGACTATGCCAAGTGTGCAACTGCACAGGGCCTCACTCCTGGCCTGCAATACTGTAGTTTATGTACAATTTTTTACAAAAATATCAACTAAATAAAATTCCTGCTGTCTCAGTTCTATTATGCATAATCAAGTTCCCGTAAAAAAAACCTAACAACTCGTTATTTTTATTATATATATATTTTATAATTTTGAATTTCGATGCTTTGTGCTTGCTCTATTGCGTGCTCACTCCATCTATCTACTCATTCAATGAGGAAGAAGAAATGTCAGCCTCATAGAGCACAACTGCTTGCGTAGGCATGAGTTGGCTGGTGAGAAAAGGAAGAATTTCACAAATCATGGAGAGGATCGCTGGATAAGTTTGTTAACGTTAGCGCTTTTGAAAATGCTAAAATTGCGAAAACTAGCATAACCCACAGCATCCCTGTGACTAGCAATACTACTGGACCACAACAAGATGAAGATCACGATGGCTGTGGTGACTAACAGATATTTCTAATCTGACATTTTAGTTCAATTAAACCATCACACTATCAATTTAGCCTACCTCGTTTTCTACTACAACTTATTAGGGACTGGTCTGGAAGATGAAGTCCCGATAATTTCTCAAAAATACACTTTTCCAATGATGGCTTGTATATCTGAAGAAAACAGATTCTATATTTTGCTTTTGTTGTAAACTGGACAAACCTTGCTAATGATGCCCATAATGATGTTGTCAAATTTGATCCCTGACTATGCAAGTCAGATGCATAAGAAATAAGGATGCACATTATCTATGGCATGAAATTCAGAATGTCTGACCACAAATGTCAAAAACACTACTGTGAATGACACAAAGAGAGCAAAATACTTTTCTGTGCTTCTTGATTCTTTGTTTTGTCGATAGGACATCTTCAGAGCTGAATACAGAAGAACACTTCATCGATTTCATCCCAGTACACGACCAAACTATTAAATGCACTCGAAGCTGAACTAGATGCTCTTGGACTAAACATAAACGACTGTCAGGGCCAAGAATACAATGGGGCAAACATGAAAACATCAACATTTCTTATTTCTAATCCATATTCTACATCTCAATCCCCAGACTTTTTTTGTGCCATGCAGTTGCCACAACCTGAATTTCACACTGGGAGATATGGCAAAAAAAATGTTTCTATATTTGCAGGCTCTCCTTAACGATGGGAAATACTTAAAGTGAAAGTCCTGTCTCTCCCTATTAAACCTCTGTCCGAAACAAGGTCACGTAGACAGTTTAAAAGCAATATGCTATCAAACAAGTGATATTAGAGATGCTTTGCTTTAAGTGGCAGAGGACTATAGTGACCCTAAAATTAAAAAAGCTAATTCCCTGCAAAGCTTTGAATTCCTTATGTCTATAGTCATACGGTATGATATTCTGTTTGCTGTGAACACTGTCAGTAAGACACTACAGTCGGGGGACATGCAGCTGGATGTGGCACTGTTGCAGCTAAATGGACTAACTTTAATTTGTGGCTTCAAAATTCTTCTTCAAAATGTATATAGCCTGCAGCTACAGTAGATCTAGAGTAGATTTAACTCTAGAATAGCTGTATGCATGTGATTCTGACTCTAAACTGAAATGACCCATCTGAGACATGATCTAAAATCTAAATGATATATACCCCCTATAGACCTGAATTTATGAAATGTAACATTCCTAAAAATGTCAAAATAAAGTGACAGCTGACTTGACGATGTATGATGCTGTATTATTCTGCTTGTTAAATTATGGTTACATGTATAATGCAGTAGGACGTTTGTTACTGTAGAAACAGTAGACTCCCAGCTTGTTTTGATTCAGAATCCCCCTCCACAAAGACAGAGGGCCTCACATGCAAAGTTATATCATCAAAAAAAAAATCATAATTACAAACTACTAAATATAAGCAGTAATACACGGTGAGTGAACATGAGTTGATATACACACCTCCAAACTATTTATGTACAAGGAATAAAGCTCGGTTTTATCAGTCTCCTGAATGATGTTGCTTTGCTCAACTTCTGTCAGATGCTGCTGAAGATAGTGCTTCACATCATCAAAGCTAAAAGAGGATAAGACAAAAACTATTACGATGTGTAAGAGGAGTGTGCTGCGAGCTGTTAAAAGCCCTGCACTCACCTGTACTTGAGCAGGAGTTTCAGCACCACTGAACGCACCACTGGATTTTTATCCACAGAGTCATCAAAGGGAGAAAAAGCCTTAGTCAAGAACTTGCGGTCTTGCCCTGCGAGGATGAGGAACAACGTTCTGGTCGTTTAATTTATTCTAATCCGTTTCTAGTCCTCCACACATATACCTTACAGACAGACGTACCTCTAATCTGAGGGAGCGAGCGGGCCTCTACCATCAGGAGGGACAACAGATGTTGGATGATGTCCATGCTGGGAGGAGTGCTGTCCTTGAAGCACATGGTGGACACCAGATCAATGAAGAAAGCATTGCATCGCTTTCTGAACAATGCATTTTGATGGATCAGACCCCTGAAGACCAAAATAAGCACATCATCTTTTAGACTGACAGAGGCAAACAGAGAGATAAAGCACAACTATTAAGCTCAGACAATTAGTCGATTTACTGTATTGTCTCAGAGGCCTTGAGCTCAAAGTCATCAGGCACTTCAAGGCGACACAGAGGACAGAGCATCTGACCAAGCACCAGCCACTGTTTGATACAGGTCAGGCAGTAGATGTGGTCACAGGGCAGACTCAAAGGGTCCTGCGGATCTCCCATGCACACTGGACAAAGCTGACTGCCAAACCTGGGGACAAATCACCAATATTCAATAGTAGCCTCTTACTAAACCCTCTGAAAGTATAACTAATAACGAACCTTACCTAAAAATGCTCTGAGATGCTTCCTCTTTGCAAGCTTTGAGTATGGTGACCACTGCCTCAAACGGCTGCTTGGTTTTGAGGTCCGAGTCCTGCTCCAGGACCTTCAGCGAAGAGACGAGTATTGATAAGCAGAAATGAAATTGTTTAAGAAGCTATTTTCAAGTAAGGACTGAAAGCTGACTCACTTGTGCTAGGCGTCGTGTGTGGTCAAGAACCAGTGGCCTGAGGTTCGAATGCACATCCTCGACACCCAGTAGCATGTGCTGCACAAACAAGGCCAGAGAGTATATGCGACGCCAGCCATGTCTAAAGTAAAGAAAATGTATTTAGATGACCTGCTTCTTCATTAACTGAACTGTAAATAATTATATCAGTGCAATACAATATAAAGCACTGGCTCTCTACCAGGGAAAGGGGGCTTTTACATGTATTTATAGGTAGTGATTAATAGGTCAGTCAACCTATTAAAATGAAAATTGTTGTAGCTAATGGGGGAATTTGGAATCAAAAAGGTCGATAACCACTGATTTACAGTATCTAAAGAGGTATAAAGCCAATTCCAACACAAACAGACTGAAGAATGGCTTCTTTTCCAAAACTGTAGGTGCTATCATGTAGGAATGTAACACAACATACAAAGAACATGTACAAATAACGTTTCCCATAGGACAATATATTTTAGAGCTCATAGCTCACTGGATGTGAGTGACAATCCGTTTGCTTTTCTCTCCATAGTGGCGTAGGCTCTCCTCACAGCAGACCAGCTCAATCGGCACCTGTAGCTTTTTAACACGTCTAAGCCAGGCCAGACTTTGAACATCTTTATCTAGAGCCTGGAGCTCCAGGCATTCAATACAGGCCACTGCAGCATACACATCTAACACCTGTGAAACAGAAAGACTGTCAGAGAGAAGTAACCAAAGTAAAACATACACATCCGATCCATGTAATACAAATTATGCAAGCACTTACCAGTTCTGTTCCTTCTCTGGCACATGTGTTATCTAGAAGCCTCTGAGCAATCTGAGGCTCTATACTGATCATCCTGTTGAGGTTCTGTATTCGGTTCTTGAAGCGATGGTAGGCAGCATGAACCCACGGCAGAGAAATAACTTCACTCTCATGGATTTCCTGACTACCCTTAAGCTCATTTACACCACAAGTAAGGGCACCACATAAGAGCTAAAAGGTAAAAACAGATATAAAAACATATCAACACATGAACAGGTATATGTGCTTGGACATGCAGATGATGTATAGAAATGTATCTCTGAAAGATTCTGACTCTCACCTCAAGATTCACCACTGATGTTATCTTCATGGTCATGGAGATGAAATCCTGGAGATACCTGTGGAAAAATTCCATCTGCATCTCTTGGGTTGCTTCAGAGATGTACCTGCCCAAGGGGATCTTCCAAAAAAACTCTTCAAATTGATCTAGAGAGTGTCGTGTTGAAGAAATGCATGGACATTTATTGTTTGTTTTTCCTAGAACTGTTAAAAAACAAAAAAACGGTAGAGGCCTGCACGGGCCTCAAATATAGGCCCTAGCCCAAGAAGTTCAGGCCCTAAACCAACCCTTGACCAAGAACTTATCGTAATTCTTGGCCCGAGTCCGACTGGAGCCCGTGTATTTTTTTCTCTCTCTTCCCCATTATACAGCTGCTGTTGCAGCCATTAAAATAGTTCAGTTTTGTTTTTAATGGCAAAGTGGTTATATTTCTTTTAGTTTTTTTATTAAGTTCATTTAGAAATATGTTTGAAACTTGTTTTTTTTTTTGTTAAATTCAAGTTTTTCTTTTTTAAAGTAACGACTGAGCGACCAGCGACAGACAGTGAGTTGATCATATGTTTGATCAATTTAGCCTTCTCAAATTATCACGACTTGCCTAAAATAAAATCTATAGATAAAAAACACTTCAAGCTTATTTAACCTAAATAAAAGTGCGCTATTAGGCACATATGCAATCGTTTGTGTGGAGAGTGGAAGCTAAAGCGTGCTTTGCAGGACATGAAGGAGCCAGCGCGATCACTTGCATTTTTTCTTATTAACAGTGGAAACAACTTAAAATACGCCGTCATTTGTGCTCATAAAGATTAGAGTAATATATCATTCAGAACTGTAAAGGGTCTACTTTTATTTGTGTGCACTTGCAAGATCAACAAAACGTGCTTTTGTAAAATAAAGAAAACAAACAGGATGCGCTTTCTGCCGTCTCTGTCTTGAGCAGGAGCGCGCTTCACAATGATGAACTGAAACTCAGCGAATACTTGCCTCACAGACATGATAAATATATTAATAGAAAACTTTAAATTACTATTTTAAAACAAAATAATTCACATCTAAAAAACTCTTTCATTATGTAATCTGTAAAGATGCATTTCTCTCTAAAGGCATGTCCAATGAGGAGATGGCGAGTCAGCATCGTCAACTTTTTTCTAATTACTTTTGCTGGGGCTTTGCGGCAAGCTTTAGCCTACTGCATGCGTTTGAACATGAAACTCTTCCAGCTGCATTGACGGCACGCTCGCTGCCACTGCTGCTGGTGGGGAAACACCGTCCGAGCCGGTTTTGACAGTCGCGGTAGCACGGTCTCGTGTTGTTTTCACCAGCGCGACAAATCTTTTTCATCACCATAATTGATGGATGCCTAAAATATAAAAATGAGTAGAAGCCTAAAACAGGCCCAATGCCCAGCCCTAGGGGCATAAATAAGTCGGGCCCGTCTGCTCTAAAAAGCAGCAATAACTGTCACAAGTCACAAGAGAACAAACCACACTGATTTAAGTGTGATTGCTGAAACAACAACAACAAACAGCAAAGATAGCAGTTAAGTAAATATACCTTCTTGCTGAAAAGCATGTACCCAGAGTTCCTCTAGATAATCTTTAATTCTCCAGCTGAAAGGCATGGTGCAACCCACATTGCTGTCAACTGCAATGTAGTTTTGAACCAAGATTGTCTTCTCTGAGCTGTTAAAGACCAAATGTTTCTTTTTTTAGTTACAACAACATTACTTTAAAGCCAATAAATTTATGCAGATTTGCATTGCATTGTGAACTTCTACACATTGTGGAATGATCAAAAATCAAGCTTGTAGCTAGAAGCATGAATGTGTTTTGGGCCCAAAGGCTTACACAATTCATCTTGAAATCAAATAATTACACACTTGTTGTCTAGGCTTGTGTAAGGAACATTCAGTAACTTGACATCTCCAAAAATTTCCAGCCACAATTTCCTCAAGGATTCATCAAAGTTTCTATCCAGCAAGAGGTCTAGATTGCAGTCACGGTCAATAATTGAAACAAGTTGTGCCAAAAATGGAGTTACTACTGCTTGAACTCGTCTCCAAAGAGCATGTCTAAAATACAGAAATGAACAAGTAGAGTTGTTTTAAGTATATGGTATAGTTTCACAAAGATACAATTCAAGACCTTTATGCACATTACAGCTTCTCTCATACACTTACCTAAAAGTCCCACCCTCTTGCAATGCATCAATATTTAGTGCTTCCTTGGAGACCCAACTCTTGCCAGAGATTGTGTTTTGATCGTGAGCCATCAATAGAGAATGAAGCCGTTTCTTTAAAGCTTTGATAAATTCAGCTGGGTAACATAAATATGTAAATTTCAGTGACCACATGTAAGTTGGCAAATCAAGACTATAAAAAAAAACTAACAGAAAGAGTGATAAGTTTCACCTTGTAGACTCTCATTGTCATCCAAGAGCATTAGAAGAATTTCTACTCTCTTGGTGCTACGGGTACCTGCCTCTGTCTGATCTCTTAGCATGCCAACTGCACTCTGAACACAGCTACGAACCAACACGTTGGTGTCTAAAACATTCTCCCAGCCCTATAGAGCATCAGAAACAGAATTATATTCTAAAGCTTATTAAACTCAACAGGGTGACAACAGTATCAAAAATATACTTAAAATATATTGCGTTTGTTGAGGTTGCGACCCACAGTATTGTCTTCGAGTTCCATCTTTTCTTCTTCTGTATGCATGTCTCCAACCTCCATAGCTGCAAACAATAAAAAAATTTTTGAGAACACTGATCACTCCTTTAAAGACAACTCTCAATATTCTGAAAATAAATCAACATCACCTTCAGGCTCATCTGTTTTCTCTGCTTTATCTTCAAACAACTGGCTGATGGTCAGACACTGCAAGGCTTTTATATCAGAGATAATGTCTTTCGATGTCCTCAGGTCATCAATGTGGACTGACCTCCAAGGGCCTTAAAAGATTAATCTTTATTGAGATTTTGTCTAAAGCAAACATAATGTTGGTCAGTGATGCAAATAATCAGTTGTCTTACCACCATGAAATCCAATATAGGAAGTTCCACCATCCGTTCTGGGTAGCTTAGTGATGAAGTACACAAAAATCTTTCCATTGGACTCTTCCCTGAATTTGTTGATTTCATTGAGAGAAGAATATCTGGAAATATATAAAATAATGCTGATTTCATTGGATTTAACAAGTAAAGAAGTGAACAAGTAAATTGGGCCACTAAACACATTTAACTTACTTAGCAGATGCAATGAAATTTAAACTTTGGGTGCTTTCGTCAAAATTGGTTTGGATGATAAGTATCTTATCTCCAGTGGTGTTTTCCAAATAATTCCTGTACACAGAAAATGTAATTAAATTAATAATAAATATGCTTTTGTTGTTGTAATATGATGTGATGTTTTGAGCACAATACCTGATTGTCTTGAGGAATGAGTTTTCCATGTCAAACTGCTGTAATGAGAGGAGCTCAATGTTTTGAACTATGTCCTGTAGCTGTTCAGTTTCTGTTGCGGTCAGAAGCCTTGAGAATGTAGTTACCTACAGGATAAAAAAAAGATAGCAAGAAACAACTTTGTGCACAATTTGCAAAGACATCAATGTTAAATACTCAAATTAAAAAAAAATACAATATGTTTACCTCTGTGAAAAAGGCATGGCTAGGCCCTGCTTGCTGTATTTGAGAAAGGATGAAGTCAGCAAGTGAGCTATGCTTCTGGTCTTCAAAGTACACCCTTGACAAGTGCTCAGTTTCTACTTTGGAGAAGGGAGTGCAGTCTAGCCTAACCACTGCATCTGGTGTAGCACAGTTCAAAAGGATCAATTTAGCCTCATCTAAAATCTTCTTCGAATCATCTGAAATTTGCCCTTTGAGCTGCTCTGTAACTTGCAGGACAACAGAGGCACAGGTGTCTGAGTGGTAGCCAATGAAAGCATCAGCAGGACGGTAGCAGCATGCTTGGGGAGCAATTGAGTGATTGCTTTTAGCTGCAATGAAGCATGCAACCCACTGCTTCAGCTTCTCAGCAAGGTCCTTTTGCTCACTTTTTAGTATGGTATTGATGTCAAGATAATGTTTCTCCAACCTGTTGATCAATGGAATGGGAAACTGCTTGTATACAACATCCTTCTCCTCAATCACAATGAGCCTGAAATCTCTGTGCACTCTGCATTTGACTCTGTGAGTTCCAAGCCCCAAATCCACATATTTCTGACCTCCAAGCCAAACATAATATTGGTTAAGAGCATCATACAAACTTTCGTACAAGTTCTGCAGGTTCAGAAGCACAATGGTTTGACCAGTTTCCATACAGATCTTCACACGGTTAATGTTGCGGCATATCTGAGTATACTCCTGGTCTTTTGGAAAGCTTGAACCAAAGATAATCTCTGGTTGGCACAGGTCTGAAAAAAACATATGCTGAAGAATTTGAAGGGCTGCATAGTTTTTGGTCAGAACCAGCAGGTATCTGCATTCCTCATCTTGACCAATGGCTGTGATGTTCTCTCTTACAAGCTCAATGGTACTGACATTCTCAAGTTTGGGTTTGATATTTAGTCTGCTGGTGAAAACTGCAACAGCATCCACATTATCCTTGCCACTGAAGTTCCTCAGCACAGCTTTCACAATCTGTTCTGCACTAGGCTTCTTCCTCTGTTCTGAAGCTTGGGCAACAGCAAATATCATCTTTATCAAGCTGTAATAGTCTCGCAAACCAAAGAAACCTCTGCCTTGTTCGTTACAGATGTTCAGGTAAGCGCAGGCGAATGGCTGAAAGTACTCTCTTACCCTCTCAAGGATCATGGGATTCGAGGAACATATTCCTTCAGCAGTCTTAATCAATTCCCTTTCATCAGGATCACTACGTGAAACAAATATCCCTCTATTCATCTTGGCTGGATCCAAAGCCCAGTTAGAAATACCGATGAATCCAACCTTCTTGTGCGGTTCTGGCTGGTCATCTATGCATCCCTCTTCCAACAAAGGATGTAAAGTTTTCAGGGGCATTTTCTGGGAATCTTCAGCCAAGCCTATCTCATCTAGCACTACTACCGAGACATACTCTGATAGATTCTTGTCTTTCTGAAAACGGGCAGACTGCTTGAATGTATTGATGATCCCATCTGGTGTAGAGTGAGGACTGCACTGGAAGGATACAAGATGAATTTGCTTTAGCTTTTTAAACAAATCCGAATGAGCTGCTTGGCCTTGCATGCCATCTGCAACTAGAGTTTTTGACAAAGACTTAGAGCTTCCAGGTTTTCCAACCAAAAAGAGAGGTATTCTCAGTTCAATGCAAATAACCATCATGAAGACATTTTCCTTCAAGGCATTGTTTCGGGCAATAGTTTCACCCAATGGAACTCCACTCAGGAAAAGATCCTGAATAACTGAGATCTCCTGCATCACTTTCATTGGGCTGTAGGTCTCTGGAAGGTGTCTGCAAATGTTTTCTCTGTATTTCTGTTTATCCTCCAAGCAGGCATGGTAACAGACACCAACAGCCATAATTAATGACCATAGAATTGGGTTTGTTATTTTAGTATCCCTCTGATGTTGATCATTTATTTTTCCACTCTCAAACTCGCCAAGCTCTTTGAGTAACATTTTGTGGTTTATGTAGAACCAGACAAAAACTTGCATGCAACGCTCTACGTCCCTCAGACTCACAAAACTACATTCATCCTGTCTTGTTCGCATATACATCTGTGAGGCTGACAGAACATCTGTAATGGTTGTGATGCAGTTTGAATCAATGGAATGGGTTTGAAATACCCTTTCAACTATTTGCTTGATGTACATTTTCTCAGTATGGTCATTGAGTTGTCCAAAGTCCCACACTAGTGGAATCATGCTAGGTGGTAAAGCATGCACTCTGTACACAAGCTGGCGAAGTGGAATGGATCCAAGTTTTTCATCTGTTTCCTCAGCACGAACTCTGTATCCCAAACCAGCTGACTCCAATCTCTTGATCATTATGTCTGTGTGTTTTCTGTATGGGTTGCAAGCGGCAATGATTTGCAAGCCAGTGTCATCTGTCAAATTCTGTCCCATAGCAGTGTTGTCACAGAGGACTTCCTTAATGCTGCTAATGGCCTCCGTTGTGTTTGCTTCATCAAAAAACAAAACTTCTAAGTTCTGCTTGTTTCTTAACGCCATGTCCTCTGCTTCTCTCACTTTGGTGTAAATCATGTCTGAACTTGTCCCCCCATGAACCTTGACTAATTTTATATTGTCAGGGGCAATTCCACCTCTGTGCACCTCACAAAGGAATTTGATTAGTCTGGTCTTCCCACATCCTGTCTCACCCATGATTATAACGGGAATCCCGCAGCGAAAGCGCATGTGAATTGCCAGAATTTTCAACATGTTGTCTGTGGTAAGCTCATATGTTTCATCTGGGTCAGTGGGAGACTGTATTCCCAACACTCTGGAAAGTCTCTCAATTTTCTCATGTCGTGGAAGCTGGTCAAAATCAATATTAAAAGGAACTCTCTGTAGTTTGAGGCCCTCATAGAGCTCTCTGTTCATGATGTTCTGCTTGATCACTCTTTTTGTTAATGGATCAATAGCATCAATCCTTTTCTGTGCATTTGGCTGAAGATGAAAGCCAATGAATGTCATGGACTCATGGTCATCATTGAAGAAAATATATGGATGTGGTTCTGACTCCCATCGTTTTCTTATCCTAAAGGGAGCCAGATCCTCTTCATTGGCTGAAGAAAGGTCATTTTGTGGTCTTCCTGGACTCTGGTCAGAGATGCTAAGTGAAGGAGTGGCAAAATCCTTTGCCATGAGAATCATGAAATCAACAACAAATTTTTTAAATCCCAACAAAATGTCACCTATAACAGAAACATCGCAGAAAACTGAGTTCTCACAATCCCTAAGTTGTAAGTTTAGGAACCAAGCAAAATTCCGCAACTCTGCCCAAGAGGGGTCTACGATGCCGCAGTACACAAACAACATCTGAAGGCATTCAACATGAGTGCCCTCAACTCCTTGGTACCTGAAGGTATCCAAATTAATACCATTGTAGAAACGTTGCAGGTACTGATAGGGCCGCTGGTAGGCCTCACTTTGGAACTCTTGGTCATCCATGAGGGGATCATCACCCTCTACTAATGATGGATCTTCCTGGATTCTCATTTCTAGCTCAAGGACCTCTTTAGGTGGACGGCAGTAAACACTTGGAAACACATCCATGAAAGCACCCTATCATAAAAAGGCAAATAGATTCATCAAGGAATTTGCATGCAAAAAATCCTAAATGATTTAATTAAGTAATTTATATTTACTTACAGTTTTTCTGTCACGTTGTGATGTGCTGCAATCTGGTCTTAGTATCTCAATTACATACAGGTGCTCATTATTCCTTTTCCACATATTTCCTTCTGAGTCTATGAGGTAACCAAGAATCAATAGCCTAAACAGAAATTCATGAAGTCCTGTCTTCACCTGTAAGTACAGAAACAATAATGAAAAACAGCAACAAAATGTCATTCCATTTGTTCATCACATTGATCAAAAACAGTAAATACAGGTAGCTACCATGGTGGTGATGTCAAAATGATAAACTGAAAGTTTCCGTTTCTTGAAGTTGTTGAGCAAGGACTTAAGGATGATATTTTCATCAACTCTTGGCTCAGTTAACCTGATGCACTTCAGCTGCGTAGGCTTATCGGTGATCTTTTTTAATTTCTCATGCATTCGTTTAATGTAAAGTGATTTCCCTAGAACACACAACAGAGATTTAGCTTATTTGACAAATTGCAGTGCAAAAATATTTAGATTCATACACAGAAATATTTGGTCTATTTGGACCCAATATTTGGTTTATTTGGTCAACTAATAAGAATTCTGAATCTGAAAACTAACTTAAAACCATTATATTGAATTTATACTCACCGACTCCTGACCTTTCAGAGAATACAACTCCCACAAACTGTCTGTCTTTGAACACAGCAGCAGCACTGGATATGTCAGCTGGTACTGTAAAATGCCTAACAAGGTATTGCTGAATACTGATCATTGGTTCTTGGGGAACCAAGTGCAATCTAAACTGACTAAAAGCAGAGGGAAGGTATGCATGTTCCTTATTAGAGCTGCAGACTAACACCAGTCTGTAATCATTTCTGCTTTGTGCATTTTGCTGGTGAAAAAACTGCTCCACTTTGTAGCTCACTTCATAGGTAAGTTGGTCCACATAGAGCATTGTGTATATTTTCTTTCCCCGATAGCCATCAGAGAGACAACGCCTAAGGAAAAGCTCCACTTCTTCATATGGAGTGGAACCACTGCAGAGAAGTACTTCATCATAGGTTGGTAGAGGTTCTTTTCTGCTTCTCATGTAAATTGAAATACATGTTATTAGAATTTCTTCAGAAGGGCAGATTATCAGATTTGGTTTTCCAGTAGCCATTCCATTTGGCAGTTCTCTCTGAATATTACTTGTTTTCTCATCCTGTTTGGAATCACTCTCATATTGACTGGGGCTGTTGGCTAAAATTTCAAGAAGATATCCAAGGCTTCTGACGTCAAGGCAGTCTGGCAGGAAGTTGTTCATGTCTCGCATGTAAGCATTCCAAATAACATCTAGCTTTTCTGACCCATTAGCATGCCTCAGCTGACGTGCCAAGTTGTCAAACAATGCACATGGCTCATCAGTATTCAAATCATGTTTAATCATGCTGGGAACTTCTGCAAACGTTTGAAATTCTAAGTCATCATTTTGCCTAAGGTCCTTCTTAATTACTTCATACTGAAGCCTGTGCCAAGCTTGTGTCACATCTGAAAAGGAGCAATTAGGTTTGATAAAGGAGAGCATCATAAGAACTTGATCTTTCAATTCAGTGTCGTTTTTCTGGGTGAGCTGACTGCACAGGCAGACCACCTGTTCTGAAGTGAAATAGTTTAAATAATAATGCTGAGATCTCTGCTTATCCATAAAAGCCTTCCAGAAGCATAAACAGCTCTCCATTTTCCGACAGACTTCTGGCAACTGTTCTGTGACATCACCTTCAATCATGACACTAACAACACTTCCTAAATCGAGGTCCATAATGATGCATTCTTCTTTACTATTACAGTTGACCTTTGCCTTCCAGTGTCTGAACAATGGATTTCCAGCAAAAAACAAATCAATAAATGCACAGGCCAACCTCTGTACACTGGCAAAGACCTGGAAACAGGAAAGAAGTTCAGGTACAATTACAACAACCATGGTGAAAGAGAGCGGAATAAAACAGATAAAAGTTGTAAAGTCACCTCTGCAAATCGATTGACTTCACGCTGGCCCTGATCTCCTTTGCCCGACATTAGCATTAATTTATTCTGAAGTTCCCTGAGGTCTTCAAAAGAATAAATCCGTGTCTCACAGCCCTCATCGTGCTCTTCCATAATATGTAACTTCAGAATATCTTCCAAGCATAACTGAAAAAAAAGCAATATTCAAGGGTTGATATTTCCAAAGTATTATCTGCATCAAATATAGTATTTTAACAGAATTGACAGAACTAAAAATATGCATTGTACTAATGTATTATTGTTTTATGTATAAGCATTATTTATATAATTGAATCATATGCTATATTATCATAACATAAAGGTGGTTTACTTTGCATCAGAGAATTAAAAGTGGTAGCCAGTTCAATACATGGATTTACAAAATATTTGTATGCTTAAATATGTTACAATTAAACATTTTTTAAATTTACATTTAATCATTTGCTAATAAAATAGCATGTATTTCAACATGTTATGCAGTCCTTCGTTATTCAATATCTGATATTTTTATGTAGCTGAAATATGCTATTAGAGGTTTACTATTAAAACTAAAATGATTAAAACTAAAATAAGTATTAACAATAAATCTGTACTGATACTTTGTTACACTGGGTGATCTTCCTCTTGTTTATTAATTATAACATAATACAAGTCAATAAACGCATAGTTCATTCCAAGCGCACTGTCTCTTTTTTTTTCTAGGGCATGAGCAATGACCCATTCGCAAATGAATCACTCTTTTGAGTTGATTTAGTTCAAAGACTTGATCAAACAAGTTGACAAATTAGTCTGACTGAGAAGAGTGTAATATTCAAGTGATAACAGAGCTTCAACCGGAATGTAGTTTTAAGAGTTTTTTTAGGCGATAATGTAATGTCTCCTCTTGGCTTATATTGAAATCCTCCGACATTTTTTTGTACAAATCCTCGTTTTGCACTTCTAATTCATGACCGGTGTTTTGTTTTGCTCTGTCCTCTGCGTTTCCGTGTTCGTCACTTCTCACCGGTGCATTCACGACGCATACGTCCTATGTCATCTGCCCGGAACGGCTTTCGCGCACAACAGTTAGCCAAAGTTAGAGAAAAGTGTTTATAATGTTTTAAATATAGACATTTTTCATACAAAAATGCATTTATTCGCTACAGGACACCTTTATTTACCCCCCGGAGCCGTGTGAGGCACTTTTTATTATGGATGGATGCGCTTTATTGGACTTCTTTTGGACTGTTGAACAAAAAACCCACTGCCATTATAAAGCTTGGAAGAGCCAGGACATTTGTTTATATAACTCCAACTGTATTCAGGGTTCTTACACCTTTTCCAAAGTAAAATTCAAGCACTTTCAAGGTGCATTTTCAAGCTTTTCCAGTACTTTACAACTGTGGAAAAATACATGTTTCCATACATACTTCACGTTCTTCACTTTAAATCAGATGTTATTGTTCTATTAAAAACCACCTGTCTGGATTGCATTGCCTAATATAAATAGCCAACATACAGTATATAAATTACAAAATGTAAAAAAAGAAAGAATTTACAGGGTATCTGCAGGATTTAAAAAAATACAATTTAAGGCTTTTTAAGACCTGCACAAATAAATTGAATATTGTATGAGTGGGGTACGGCAATGTCTATGATGGTAATACATTAATGACTGGTACCATAAAATGACAGTAAAAAACATGATTTGCAGTTCAAAAACTGGTTTTTCACAAATACAAAAAGTTTTATATAGTAATAAACCTCACATTTTAGTCTTTAAACTATTTTTTAAGAAAAGGGATTAGTCAAAACTATAAATGATTATCTTAATTTAAAACACACACACATCTTGCTTTGTTAATCGTTTGGATTATTGAAGGCACCTTTTATTTGTTCTGAACAAAAATAGCAAATTGCCAGCAGGTTGCCAGCAGGTGGCGCATTTGGAACGGAACAACAACTGTTTGCCTGGTAACGACTGTACAAAAAGCAGAGCTGTGCTCGTTAACGCTACATTATCAGACATTACACATAGGCAAGATGAAATGAAAATGCCATCAAAACTTCTGAGGGCAGGCTGTTCCTTTCAGAGATAATTTCATATCAAAACACCTGCGCCACGTTTTGACTTTGTTTGTTTATTCAATGAAATCATACCCTTATGAAGTTAATCATTACATTAAGCCATATCTGTCATGACTTCGGTCTGATCGGTAGGTTGTTGGTATTGTCTTGTCTGGTCTGTGTTTGTGGTTGTTGTCGGGAGCACGTGGGTTTTGTTTTGAGAGTTTGCCATGTGCTCGTTGCCACAGCGGTTCCCCTCCCCATCATTATCTTATTACTACGTTAGCTGCCGTCACACCTGTGACTAGTTAGTCCCTAATTTCTCCCTCTATTTTAATTCCCCTCATGTGTAGTCATGTGTCAGACCGTTGTTGTGTGTACATGCTACACTTCGCTCGTGACCTACTTTTGGTTTAGTCGTGCTGTGTCCTGTTGTGTTTTTCCTAGGCTCCAAGTACAGTTTAATCCCTGCTGTTTTGACTTCCTTTCTTGCTCCCCCTTTTTTGCCTCTCATTTCTCCAGATCTCTGTTCCTCAGTTCCTGCCCTGGTGTTACCTGAGCCGTGTATTAGGCTTCTGTACCCCGGCCCTTCTCTGCGTGCTCAACAGGGAACTCCCCACGCTGACGTTGCGTCAGCACTGATGCTGGGACTCTGTGCGCTGTTCTCTCCCCACTCTGACATTGTGTCAGCACTGACGGCGGGATTCTGTGCGCTGATCTCTCCACGCCTTTCCCTCTCTGCCTTGTGGAGTGTCTGGATGCTCGTTTGGACTGCCCCCCTCTTCCTGTCTACATCCTCCACCCTGGATTACGGCTCCTGGCCTTCTGCCCTAGCCGTGTTTCAGACTTTAATAAACTTTTGAGTTGAACCTGCAATTGAATCTGTGTTTTTCCCTGACAGAACGGTCTGACCAGAAATGGATTCAGCAGGTGCAGACCAAGTCAGAGTCGCGGTAAGTCAGCAAGGCATTCTTCTGGGACAGCATTCCAGTCAGTTAACTGCCGCTTCAAGGGAGGTTGAGTGCCTGACAGCCCAAGTAGCAGATCTCAATGTCCAAATACAGGAACTCCAGCGGGAGGCTTTGGCCAGCAGATCACTTGCTACATTTGGTCATTTTCCGCTGCTGTGTGGGATGCTCGTGCCCCATTCTGTGCCACGTTTGAGGATTTCCGAGCCGAAATGATTAAGCTGTTTGACCGGTCTGCTCAGGGTGACGAGGCAGCCTCTCAGCTGGTGCGGTTGAATCAGGGTGGTCGCCCAATCACTGACTATTCCATCCAGTTTAGAACACTGGCGGCCGCCTGCGACTGGAATGAAGCTGCCTTGCATGCGAGGTTTCGGGAGGGGCTAGACCATGAGATTCAAGATGAAATTGTCACACACGATCCGTGTGGAGGGGCGTCTTCAGCGTCACTGTCAGCAAGGGAATGCACGACCCTCCTGGACATTGGACGAGGGGGCTCCCAGTTCAGTACTTACCTCCTCACCTCCTGTAGGTGACTCTGAGCCCATGCAGGTGGGGCGTCTTTGTCTCACAGCCAAGGAGAAGCAGGCTCGACTGGTTCGAGGTCTCTACCTGTATTGCGGGAAGCCCAGACACAAAGTCAGCCGGTGCCCTTTAAAAGCCAGGGCCCATCAGCAAGCCGGGGGATCCTGATGGGTGCCTCTCCGTGTCTCAACTCCCCAAGTTTCGTACCCTGCTCCCGTTTCTGTTCAGTACAAGGACACCATCCACTCCTGTTCTGCTCTTGTTGATTCAGGAGCTGAAGGCAATTTCTTGGACATTTTTATTGCGGCATAGTGGGGCATTCCTGCCATTCCTCTCCCTTCTCCTATCTCTGTCCATTCCCTCAATGGCCTTCTCCTCTCCTCCATCACTCACTCCACTCCTTCAGTAAGTCTAGTGGTCTCTGGCAATCACTGTGAGGTAACTGAGCTGTACCTCCTTGATTCCCTGGGTGCTCCTGTTGTCCTGGGGCACCCGTGGTTGGTGCAGCACAACCCTCACGTGGATTGGTCAGGGAACTCCGTGTTATCTTGGAGTCAGTCCTGTCTTGCTTCATGTTTGGGTGCTGCCTTGTCTCCTGGCTCTTTGTTTTCTGTGTTTCAGGTAGAGAAAGCTGATCTCTCCGGAGTCCCGGCGGAGTACCACGATCTTTGCCAGGTCTTCAGTAAGTCCCGGGCCATGTCCTTACCTCCTCACCGGCCATATGACTGTGCCATCGACCTCCACCCAGGTACTTCTCCACCTAAAGGGCGTCTGTATTCCTTGTCTGGTCCTGAAAGAGAGGCCATTAACAAGTATATTAAGGAATCCTTAAATGCCGGCCTCATCAGTCCCTCTTCCTCACCTGCTGGAGCTGGGTTCTTCTTCGTGAAGAAGGATGGCTCCCTTCGACCTTGCATTGATTATCGGGGTCTTAATGACATCACCATAAGAAACAGGTATCCTCTGCCTCTGATGTCATCTGCTTTTGAATTGTTACAGGAAGCCAAGGTCTTCACTAAATTAGACCGCCGTAATGCCTACCATTTGGTCCATATTCGTGAGGGGGATGAGTGGAAGACAACCTTCAATACCCCTACGGGACACTTTGAATACCGGGTCTTACCCTTTGGGCTTACTAATGCCCCAGCTGTCTTCCAGGCCCTGATCAATTATGTGTACATGGTAAACAGATTTGTCTTTGTGTACCTCAATGATATCCTCATCTTCTCTTCCTCCTTGCAGGTAAACACTCAACATGTTCGTCAGGTGCTACAACGGCTGCTGGAGAACCAGCTTTATGTCAAGGCGGAGAAGTGTGTTTTCCACGCCAAATCAGTTTAGTTCTTGCGGCATATCATTTCAGTGGAGGGGATCAAAGCTGATCCTGCTCAGGTAAGAGCCATAGCCGAGTGGCCAACCCCTGACTCTCAGAAGGCATTGCAGTGGTTCTTGGGGTTTGCCAACTTCTACAGGCGATTTATCCGGAACTTTAGCCTGGTTGCTGCACCCTTAACGGCACTCACCTAACCCAAGGTATCATTCAGATGGAATTCTCAGGCTCAGGAGGCCTTTGATGTTCTTAAGTCTCATTTCATCTCTGCTAATGTTCTTTGTTTTCCAGATCCTGAATGGCAATTCATTGCTGAGGTTGATGCCTCAGAGGTTGGGGTAGGTGCGATTCTGTCCCAACGGTCCCCCAGGGATGGGAAGGTGCACCCCTGTGCCTTTTTCTCTCACCGCCTGAACCCTGCTGAACGAAATGATGACATAGGTAACAGGGAGCTGCTGGCAGTCAGGCTGGCTCTGGGGGAGTGGCGCCATTGGTTGGAGGGAGCAGCGTGGCCCTTCTTGGTCTGGACGGATCACAAGAACTTGGAGTACATCCATTCGGCCAAGAGGTTGAATTCCCGGCCGGCCAGCTGGGCACTCTTCTTTGGGGGGTTTAACTTCTCCCTCTTGTATCGGCCGCGTTCCAAGAACACTAAGCCGGATGCCCTTTCTCGTCTGTTCGAGGGTCCTGGGAGGGATGGGGCTCCCGACACCATTCTCCCCAAGGGGGTGGTGGGATCCCTCTCTTGGGATGTCGAGCAGTGGGTAAGGGAGGCCATGCGGGGGGGAGAGGTCCCGAGGGGATGTCCGGAGGGTCGGTTGTTTGTCCAGGCTGCGCTGCGTCCTGAGGTTCTCCGGTGGGGTCACAAATCCAGGGTAACCTGTCATCCAGGGTTTCGGAGATCGCTGGCCGCCATCCGTCAGCGATTTTGGTGGCCATCCATGGCCCAGGACGTCAGGCAGTTTGTGTTGGCTTGCTCGGTGAGTGCTCAGAATAAGACTTCTAACCAGTCTCCTGTTGGTCTGTTGCAGCCTTTGCCCATTCCCTCTCGTCCTTGGTCACACCTGGCCCTTGATTTTGTCTCTGGCCTTCCCCCATCGAGAGGCAACACCGTGATCCTGACGTGGTGGATCGCTTCTCCAAAGCAGCCCATTTTATTCCCTTGCCCAAACTCCCCTCTGCCAAGGAGACGTGGTGGACCACGTCTTCCGGATTCACGGTCTTCCGGTGGATGTGGTCTCTGACAGAGAACCACAATTTGTTTCCCGGTTTTGGAAAGAGTTCTGTAGACAGATCGGGGCCTCAACGAGTCTGTCTTCTGGTTTTCACCCTCAGACCAATGGGCAATCCGAGACAGCCAACCAGGATCTCGAGAGAGCTCTCCGCTGCCTGGCATCACATAGTCCGAACTCCTGGAGTCAGCAGCTACCGTGGGTCGAATATTCCCACAATTCCCTTCCTGTAGCGTCCACAGGTATGTCTCCCTTTCAATGTTCCATGGGTTATCAACCACCTCTTTTCCCTGCTCAGGAACCCGAAGCTGCGGTCCCGTCTGCCTTGGTCTTCGTCCGTCGGTGCCGTCGCACCTGGAGGAGGGCTAAGGAGGTCTTGGCCCGGACTTCCAGACGGACCAAAGCAGCGGCTGATCGTCACAGGACTCCTGCTCCTCAGTACGTGTGTGGTCAGAAGGTATGGCTTTCCACCAAGGACCTGCCTCTCCGGGTGCCTTCTCGTAAGCTGGCACCCAGGTTCATTGGGCCATATCGCATCACAAAGGTTCTGAATCCGGTGGCAGTGCGGCTCAAGCTTCCTCACATGCTTCGTCGGGTTCACCCTGTTTTTCATGTGTCCAGGGTTAAGCCTGTGTTTCAGTCCCCTCTTAATCCTGTTGGTTCTTCCGTCTGCGACGAGGTGAGTCCCTCCTGGGTGCGCCAGGTGGCGTTCCTGGGAGGGGAGGTACTGTCATGACTTCGGTCTGATCGGCAGGTTGTTGGTCTTGTCTTGTCTTGTTTTGACAGTTCGCCATGTGCTCGTTGCCTCAGCGGTTCCCCTTCCCATCATTATCTTATTACTACGTTAGCTGCTGTCACACCTGTGACTAGTTTGTCCCTAATTTCCCCTCATGTGTAGTCTTGTGTCAGACCGTTGTTGTGTGTACACGCTACACTTCGCTCGTGACCTACTTTTGGTTTAGTCGTGCTGTGTCCTGTTGTGTTTTTCCTAGTCTCCAAGTGCAGTTTAGTCCCTGCTGTTTTGACTTATTTTCTTGCTCCCCCTTTTTTGCCTCTCATTTCTCCAGATCTCTGTTCCTCAGTTCCTGCCCTGGCGTTACCTGAGCCGTGTATTAGGCTTCTGTACCCCGGCCCTTCTCTGCATGCTCAACAGGGAACTCCCCACTCTGACGTAGCGTCAGAACTGATGCTGGGACTCTGTGCACTGTTCTCTCCCCACTCTGACGTTGCGTCAGCACTGACGCTGGGACTCTGTGTGCTGTTCTCTCCCCACTCTGATGTTGCATCAGCACTGACGCTGGGACTCTGTGCGCTGATCTCTCCACGCCTTTCCCTCTCTGCCTTGTGGAGTGTCTGGATGCTCGGTTGGACTGCCCCCCTCTTCCTGTCTACATCCTCCACCCTGGATTACGGCACCTGGCCTTCTGCCCTAGCCGTGTTTTGTGTTTGAGACTTTAATAAACTTTTGAGTTGAACCTGCAATTGAATCCGTGTTTTCCCCTGACAATATCATGATTCTTGTCTTTCCGTCCTGAAATTTTAGACCTCTTGAAATTATAATAGAAGTCTTTTCTTGTACCGTTTAAGGCATTTAAGTTTTTTATGTCCTTAAATTTTATACAAGTTGATGTGACAATGACGATTAATGTCGATTACGTTTTTGTGTGGGAGGAAACGACATGTCATATTCATGACTTTCTTCACATGGGTTATTTTAGTAGTAGGCTATGAAAAACAAAATGGTTATTCAATTTGCGATTAAAACATACAGAAAACGAGCAACAAACGTTTCAATCTAGCACAAGCTCACTGTCTAAACCGCAAAATGAATTTCTTGTTTACATCGTATCTGCACGATGTAATGCATCATGTTGTTTATGATGACAGTATTTGAGAGAGTGCAGAATGCATTCAGTGAGCGCATGAACTGAACACAACTGTACCGTTTCACTGATTTTTCCTGGTGTGGTGAGTCTAATCTAAATGCCTCTGCATGGCCATTGCACACATGCACTCAACACAAACGTTGGTGATTTGTTATAACGCTGAGGGGAAAACGCACACAAATAAATCGTTGATGCATTGTGAGCATTTCTAAACGTATGCCGCAATAAATACCTTTAATTTATTTTCACATTTTACTTTAATTATGACAGTCTTAAAAGATTTAGTTTAACTGACCAGAAGCATTTTTGTTTACCTTTTATATGGCTCGAAAGCACAGACTCTTCCATGAAAATAACAGACTTTACAGGCTACTCAAGTATTTAGTTCTCGTTTTAACCATCATTTTTATTGTCGTTTTCAAGCACTTTAACCAAAATCCAAGCACTTTTCAAACCTTGAAAACACTACATTAAAATTCAAGCATTTTCAAGGAATTCAAGCACCCATACAAACCCTATGTATTCTTCTGAAATAAGAAAATCATAAATACCTAGGATGCCTTGAGGGCGAGTAAATCATGGGCTTATTTTCATTTTTGGGTGAACTACACCTTTTAGCTTAATAAATAAGCTAGTCTGACATTGACGAAAATTAGCATCATGCAAGGACGGAAATGCCACCAAAAATTTATAGAAATGCCCCCCAAATTAAATTTAAGATATGAATTTACTCTATATGAGTCTTTTAAATTATCTTATATGATATAGGTAAACAATATTACATAAGCAAAAGTGCTATTTTCTTGACTATTAGCATGACTGCAAATTTAATATTCATGTAAAGTTCAATAAATAATTAATTTAATATTTTTAAACGCAGCATTGTTAATTTTGACTGTTTCACCAACTAAAATAATTTCAAACAAAGCAGAACACTAGAGTTTGAACAAATCAGTGAATAAATTATTCTGTCACGCACTTATTAAGGCTTGCCACCACTTACAGGTTTTTCATTTTTTACAATATTTCATATTTCTATATTTAAAAAAAAAATTACATTTAAAACACTAATCTCATAACATTGTTTATAAAACTGTAATTGCAGTGTAAATACCTATCAGTAAATAAATATTTTAGTAGTAATAGTAAATAAATATAACTTTTGCACAGTTGCAATTGCCCTTAAAAATGGGGGGGAATGCATTCAAGGGGGTGGGGGGTTCATTTCATTCATGCGCAACACTGATTTTGCTCATTTACCAATTCCAGTATAATGCCAACAAAGGACAGGCTAAAAAGCCTAAAAGAAAGGGAGCTATAGCAATATATATATATGTATTTCTTATATATATATGTGTGTGTGCATTTATTTATAACTTTTAAGTATACACAATACACACATATATGTATAAACTAACTTTTATTCTGGATGCTATTAATTACGATAAATCGATTTGACAGCACAAAAAAAATGTCATGAGTATTTCAAAATTTCGTTGTGCGTCATCAGTGTAAGTAATGTAGTAATTACAAACCTTTTGATTTTGTGCACTAATAACGTAGACGCCGTTCATGTTGATAGCTGATGCCAGAGACAGAGATGAGGTCTCCACTGACCCATGACTATCCTTGACTGTCTTCAACCATTCTAAGTGTCTTGCAGAGTCACTCTGAAATCAGAGAAAATGTTGATGAACAATAATGTGAGAAATCCTGCTTTCTTTTTCTGGTTGTTAAGGCAGATTCTCTCACCAGTTTCTTTGGGAGGTTGTGGTCATTGTCAAGCGCCTTCCATAGATTCTTCAGCGTCTCTTTAAAAAGCTTGAAGTCAGCATCTGGCTTCAAATCATAGAGCATTGAGGAGTAGCCAAGAACTGCATCATGAAAACAGGCCACACGATCCACTTCCATATCATTTTCTCCGGCAGAGATGGAAGCCAAATCCACAAATACTTTCAACTCATTGATGTCTGAAGTGATAAAAAGGAATAACATTTGCTTACAAAAGAGCATAAAAATGATAAAATCACATTCAATATGAATACCAGTTCAAACACACATTTACTTACCTTGAAGCACCTCTTTTACCCACGTGACAAAATTCTTTCTGCGGCTGAGCTCCTGAAGGCACAGTCTGCGGGATTCTGTGATTTCCACAAGCACAATTTTTGCCTGCACCAAATCATCATCAATGCTGTCAAGACGCTCCTTTTTAAAATCCACGTGTCTCTGAAAGAAAGACAGCCTTGTGGGTTAAGCATGTTCCTTATTTATCTATGATAAAAATGTACTTATGATGGAAAAATATGATGACTTACAGTATTAAGCAACTTCTCCAAGACTTGAAAGTCTCCTTGTAGGCAAAGCGTCTCTTTGACCATCATGACCACCTCAGCTGACTGTATTGCCAGATAAAGCTCATGGTACTGCTCAATCTGATGGACTCTTGTCTGGACCCAACGTCGGTCATCACTGTGATCCAGTCTGCATAAGATTGCAACTTCTGCTGCCAGTTCTTCATATTTTCCCTTGTAGGCTCTGAATGTCACATCAATATTTTCAAAAGTGATGCTGCCATCTTTAAGCCCTGTGTATATGTTTTTGTAGGCATTGTAGCATGGTGTAAATATGTCACTGTGAAGCTTTTTGAGTGTGATAACCGAATTGCCTTCTGAAGAAACTGCTCCATAATCTTGAGCAAACTTTGTTGCCTCATTCATCCAACACATTCTGAAGATGTAGCCGTCTTTGAAGGTATTTAGGACCTCTGCCATAGATCGAACATCATCTTCAAGCTCAAAGTAGTTGACTACTCTTACTGCAGAGGGAATCTGATTTAATAAATGGACATCCACAAACTTGTCCAGGTCCGTCTCATCAATGTCATTACGGCGTTTGTCTTCCAACCCTTCAAAATCAACTGTACAATAGAAATGTAGTATTAAAATCTCTTTATAAAAGCAATCTTTTATTGTCAGCTGTTCAAAATAAAGCTTATACCCCTCGGATGCTTCTGTAGATTGCGGCACACTGTAATGAGAGCATCCACCAGTGATTTCTCATGATATATAGCCTTCACCTCCTCTTGTCTACATTCAAGAAGCCTGTTCATGGCTTTGGTGTCCCTGTATTGTTCATTGTCACAAAAACAATCTGGAAGAAACAGTAAGGTCATGACTCCTCAAATTACAGTATGTAAAAGGAAGACATTTTATATATAAAAGTATTTTACCTAAATTAAGCAAGTCAAAGAAAGCACTCTTGTTTTCCAGGATGTGGTTGAGTAGCTTAATTTTTATTTTTCCTGATACAAGTTGGTTTAAAATATTTGTGAATGATGATATTGCCATGGTAAATTTCTCTTTAGCTTCTTCAGAAAGCTGACTGATCAGGTTTTCATCAGCACCTACAGAGTACAAAAAAGTGCATATGCTTAAACATTATATATACTTCTTTAAAAACCCATTCTGTCTCAGAGTGATGAGATTTAACATAGGATTGCTTTGCACAATGCAGAGGGAATCCATATAATACCATGAAGCTGAAAGATATTCTTAGCTGCTGTCCAGCCCAGAAGATGTTTGAGAAGCACTTGCTCATCCTTCAGATAGGTTCCTTTGTCATCTCTTGGCCAGGACTTCAGAATGATGGTGGATACAAGCGGTTTCAATTTCCAGTTTATGCGGAGTTTGTCGAATCTCTCAAAAAGTTGCCACTCAGATTTAGCCTGTTAAAAAAATCTGTACAGTAAGTGTCTGCTTTCATGCTATCCATCTTATTAAAAGGCATAGAACTTTGGCAAAATAATGTGAAATCCATACAGACCATTGATTAATGTATTTCTCAAACACTGCAAACTACACCATATCCATTTCCATCTCAATGGATTAATAATTTTGTAAATAGATAGAATGTGGAATATATTCATTAATCTTGATTAAATATAATAACTAGAATGATATCATAAGAAATTATTCTATTATCTACTATTATATATTTGACTGTGTGTGAGAGGACGGTAGTGTGCTTAGAACCTAACTATTTAAAACTGGTTGGAACACACTCTTATAAGGACCCTAAATACAGGGGCAAGAAATAAGGGCATGACATGTTCAGAGAATGTAATTGATTATCCTTCAGGAGCTCATATATGCTAAAGACTCCATGTCTAAAAATACAGAGGCAGAAAGAAAGACATGGATGGAATCCATTGAACAGTCTCAAGGCGTATATGTCAGGTTTGTAGTAAAGATGAAGCGAGGACTCAAATGCAGAATTTGCAATGGGCTTTATTAAATAATAAGATAAAAAACTTAAATAAAAAAACAACACCCCAAGGGGGAAAACTAAACTGCAGGGCAAAACAAGAGAACATTAGACGATGGACTAGCACAGGACAGAAAACATTAGGAGAATAAATTGGGAACCAAATAAGGAGGGTAATGAAGGGGTAACAGGTGGAACAACGAAAGCAATAATCGGGTAACAAGATGGGCGGGGTTACACAATAGACATGGGAGCACATGGCACATAGAAACAAAACAAAGCCATGTGCTCACACAGAACATAACAGCAATGAAAACTCGCGAGACGCATACTACACCAAACACGACAAAGCAATTCAAGGAAGACACGAGACAAGAGCGCACGGTAGAGGTAAAATTCTATTTCACGGTATGACTAATTTTATTTCATGTTAACGATATATTTCACGATACAGTTACTTATATATGTAGTTATTTTTTAAATCAGCAAAAAGGCTTTATATAATAAATAAACTCAAATACTTTAGAAATGAAACCTTGTTTGATTTTTTTTTTTATTTGGTCAATTGTTTTTACAGTAAAAACACACTCAACTTTTAGATTAACTGCCCCCAACTGACTGATATTAAATGCAACATGAAGGTGCAATTTAACTTTAAATAAGGCGTTTCTGAATTATTTTTTAAATCTCATGTTATTGTTTTACTTCAATCAGTTTATAAGATCTAAATATTTTACATTGAAATATTCTATTCATAATAAGTTACATGTACTTCCTTTTAATTTTGCAGGATACTATTAACACTAGCTGTTATATATTGTTTAACTTTGTTCATAGTATCTGCTTATTATACTGCATTTTTAAGGGGTTTGTCTTGCTCTTTGTGATATCTGGCAACCATTCACCTTTAATCAAGAGAGGAAAGAGTACAATTGTGACTAGAAGAAGAGCAGCAGCATGCAAACTGAACATAAGCTAACAGCTACTGTTAGTACTGACTTAGTAGTTTAAATTACAAGGACACAAATAATCAGTGAGGAACTCATAGCTCAACAATAAACCATGAGAAAATATGCTCAAGTATGTAAACTTGCAGCAAAAAACAATAATATTGTTATTTTTAATTTGATCATTCATAATTATTAATTATTATTAGTCTTTTTTTTTTCTGCAGCTGTTACCTGGATGGGATGAATTTTTATTATTTATGTTTGTATTTTTTTTATTATTAATTTGCTTAAATTACGACTACATTATTATGTAATTATTTGTCCCATTTTTATCTTAATAATTTAGCATTTTTAAAACTTTTCTAAATGGCAAATTGTATATGACATTATGATTATTTATTATGTCTATATTTATGATTAATATAAATGATAAATTAATATATAGGGTCTAACATTCATTATAATCTATTAATTCATCTGTCTAATCATGTCTAAAAAATATAATAATTATGTTTACCAAGCTCTGATAATGTATGGAATATTATATTAACAGACAATCCGTGTATCATTCATTTTTTATTTAATATTGAAAGTATCAAAATGGAAAGGAAAAAAAAAAACGGCTCCATTTTCATTTTTTTCCAAAAAACAAGAATTCAGCTTAAATTTTCGTTTTTCGTTCATGGGTGGAAAAATGAATAAACAGCTTGAATATTCGATTTCTACACGTGGGTGGGAATTAAACGCCCCTTTCTGCTGATTGGTCAGCCGAAGATCAAACCGTGCCATCATCAGTTCTTCTGCAGTTTTCATGCAGCAGAATAATAGTCCTCCACTGCTGCAGGTGTACGGATTCTTAACGCATTTATTGCAACTACATTTCATCTTTTTTCATCAAATGGACTAATGAATAGTCCGTACCGGGCCAGAGTCTAGACAGGGCTTTCTTCTGTGTAGATATAAATTATATTCTTTGCATCAGCTGGGCATGGCAGGGTATGATATGACAGCTGTCATAGCCTACCCTGCGATATAAATTCTATTCTTTGCATCAGCTGGGCATGGCAGGGTATGATATGACGGCTGTCATAGCCTACCCTGCTCACCCAGTGAGTCTGTTTGTTTAATACAGTAATTCATTCATTCATTCATTCATTTCAAAATAAAATTTTAAACACTAGGGCAAAAAGGAAAGTATAATAAATTGGCTTGGGTATATATAGGCCTATAATGTTCACGCAAGAACTGTCATTCTGACAACAGAACAACAGATATTAAATAGCCAACTGTTAAGAGTTTTATAATGTAGACTTGTGTTTTATTAAAATTGATTATAATTGCTATCTCAAAAGGATATGCACTTGTGCACGGCGTGAGCTTCTGCGCACTCGCACAGGACTGCAACGCAAGATTTTCATAAAATATAATAACTTGCCATTTCGGTTTGTTTCTCACCAAACCCACAGTATACCTTCAGAATGCTTGGAATATACACCATGAGATGCATAGGATTATTTTACGACAAATATGCATCCGCTTAAAAAAAAAAATTTAATTGGCAAGTGCGAGCAGGACATTTTTTTGTGTTAATTAAGTAATAAGCCTTTAGAACAACATTAAGGTGAGTAGTCACTCTAGTTCACACAGTTCCAATACATTGCGAAGAGTTAAATAAACGCAATAAGCGACTACAGTCAAGCGCAGACCAGTATTGAAGTGCACAGGAAATAAGCAGCAGTCATGTTTAAAGCAGTTTGAATATGCAGTTTAAATTAATATTGTGTACTGATTGATGTTCACTTGGATTTTTTCCCCATCGAGGGGAAATAACTTTAACTCTGTCATTTATAGTCGTATGGTAAAATGTATATTTTTATTTGTGTAACATTACTGTAGGAGGCCAACCAGTTGGAGTGGAAAAGGAAATGACGTCCTGTACAAAATGTTGGTGCAATAATCAAAAATTGGTGGTTTGTTGGAAGTTGAAAAAAAAATATTTACAGTGCAAGAGAAAACAAAAATAAATAAAAACTGTACAAAAAGAAAACAAAACGGCAACAATGTGCTTAATTTGGCTAAACCAAATGGCCCAAGTATGCAACACTGCTCAATCCACAATCAGTACCAAAGACAAAAACAAAGACTGACTCCCTCTCAGCCAGCAAGCCTATTTATAGGCTGATGCCCCTCCTACAGGGCATACCAACTGGGGAGAAAACAAACAAAAAAGGTTTGTAACAAGCAAATTCAATAATATAAACACCCAACACAACCAGACTTAAACCTTCCAAACAAGTAAAACAACAACCATTAACAGAAGAAAGTTTAACAACAAATTAAATAGAAAACTAACTGTTCCTAATTTCTCCCCCCTCTGACATCACAACAAAATGGCAGCTTCCACAGGAAGTGACGTGGCGCTTGTTTTAAAAACCAGTTGGACCTAGATTAAGGGTTTAATTGTACAGAGTGTGAACCTGGAAGTTCAACTGCAACAAGAAAAATACATGTAATTATCACATGAAATATTGTGTGTCCAGACATTTTGTTCTTTTTTAGAAAAATTGTGATTTAAGGAAAACTATAAAGAGTTGAAAACTAGAACAAAAAACACAGCAGTAACAAACTTAGACTAAACAAAACAAAAACTCCATACCACCTTCCTGATGTGTACACAGATGTTAATTTGCCAGCAATGCTCAGTACAAGTGAAATGGGTGTGTTGTAAGTCCAAGTTTATAGAGTCAACCTGTGACAGTTACGTTCAAAATAACTACAAAATGTCATGCCTTTGAAAAATAAAGAGAACAACAGAATGCGCTTCTTTAGCACGTCTCGGTCTCCTTGAGCATCTTTCCGGCGCATGCCACAAACATGAACCACAGCGAATACTCGTCTTATAAAAGGCTTCATTTAGATTATTTGACGTTAAATGCATCATATAAGTCACTTTGGAATAAATCACAGTAGGCCTATGTATCATGATAAAAAAGCGACTTTACAGTCTGGAAATGCTTTAGGCTATAGCTAATTATTTCTCGGACCCCCTATCACTTTAAGAACCGCTGGTCTACACAGAAGAAAGCCTTGTCTAGACTCTGCTCCGTTACAAGTTGTGTCGAGCTATTCATTAGTCTGTTTGTTTGATGAAAAGAGATTAAATGTAGTTGCAATAAATGCGTTAAGAATCCGTACACCTGCAGCAGTGGAGGACTATTATTCTGCTGCGTGAAAACTGCAGAAGAACTGATGACGGCACGGTTTGATCTTCAGCTGACCAATCAGCAGAAAGGGGCGTTTAATTCCCGCCCACATGTAGAAATCGAATATTCAAGCTGTTTATTAATTTTTCTACCCCTGAACGAAAAACGAAAATTTAAGCTGAATTCTCGTTTTTAGTTTTTTGGAAAAAAAAAAAAATGAAAAAGGAGCCGTTTTTTCATTTTTCTACTTTCAATATTAAATCAAAAAAGGAATGATACACGGATTCAGGTGGCAACCCTAACTGACACGCTGCTCAGCCTTTCATATTGACCTCTCACTGTGTGCGTGCAAAACTGGATTCTGGAGTTGTCTTTGCAAACATAACTCGGCTTTGTTACTTTGCTAATAAAGTCCATTTTCTGGCTTCCAAACCTCCACGACTTTAAGAGCAATTTTTTTCCAACAAGTAAGTTTCCACAACAAATTCAGCAACAGCTCCACTGTGGTGATATTAGATTCTTTTTAGTTAAGGCTCAGCAGTGTTTTCTGTAACCGTGAGAATGTCACTCCAGCATTTTCTTTGATTGGCTCATTTAAGGTTGCTAAGGTTGTTTGCTAACGGTGTTTCACAGTGATAGACAGAAGCATTGGGTGAAGTGGTCATACCCGTGCTTTATCATAAATAAAACACAGCTATTGACTAATCAGCATTAAGGACTGGAACTAACCATTTTGTAAGGCTAAGAAAATGATGACAACATTTTCATTACAGACTTACGTTACATTCAGGTCATAGGACGGGTATGCGTCGTGATACTCTCCAAAACGGTGATATAGGGTGATGCAGTGGAGACTAATTTTTGAATAAAGTCGTTATTTTTGTTTTCTTTGCGAACAAAAAGTATTCTCGTAGCTTTGTAAAATTACGATTGAACCACTGATGTCACATGGACCATTTTAACGATGTCCTTACTACGTTTCTGTGCATTGGTCGTGGTAGTTCCCTTGCTGTCTATGCAGGGTTAGAAAACTCTCGGATTTCATCAGAAATATCTTAATTTCTGTTCCGAAGATGGAACGACGTGAGAGTGAGTAATTAATGACAGAATTTTCATTTTTGGGTGAACTATCCCTTTAATGTTTTGCTTTAACTGACTATGTACAGTATCAAAAAAAAGCTAAAAAGGTAAACGTTGGTAACTACAAGGCTATTTTAAATATCATTTGCAGTTTCCTAGGTTTGACATCTCAAATTATTTGGACAATTTGCGGAACAATTTTTGTCAGAAATGACCTGAGATATTAATGACTGGTAAAACATCCATGCAAGGGTTCAAGCTGAATTCAAACTAAATTCTGCTAGAACGAAAAGGAGAAACCTTTAAACTGGATTATGTTTTGGACCTCATCTCATTTTATTAAATGTTCTAATGTACAGTATGTGTGTATAATGCTATATGACTCATGTTGTCAGTGAGAACAAAGTGAAAGACCTTTACCTGACATTTTGCAGCAACAGCCTGGAGAGCACACTTCTCCACGCTACCCACCAAAAAAGGCTTGGAGACATTAAGTTCCTCAACCTTTGAACAATAAACCTGGATTTGGTCCAGAGGATCTTCCTAATAAGAGTAAAAAATTGTTTTGTATATTTACAAATACAGAACAACAAACATTGACCTGGACAACTGCCCTCACTGACACACGTTTCATTGTTAAATGTCACATTTATTTCCGTTCAACCAGATGCAAATCTCAGTTGCTTAAGATGCTTTGTCTCAGTCATTTCAGTAGATTTGAAATGTACTGGAAGGCAAAATCCTGTGGTTTGATGGCACTTGTATGAACTTCTATTAAGCAACAAAGAAATGCACTGAGCTGAGCTAGAACAGACTAGACACTAGGGTTGGGAACAGGGCCGTCACTAGTGAGGAGAAAGGTGGTGACAATTCTAAGGGACCACAGTGTTGGTTTTATCATTTGCACGTGTTGCAAGATGAAAGTTTATCATTTGCAAGTTTGTCATTTGCACATGTCGTTAAGCCTTGGCAATTTAAAACCATTCAAGCCCAAGATGCTGCAAATTACCTTAATTCAGCGTGCACACAGAGAGCTACATCTCTCAGCCTGCGAACACCGCAATGAGTTCTTTTTTGCATCATATTGCGCTTGAATGGACAAATACATACAAATTTACACCAAAATCTTGGTGAGTATCCTCGAAAACTGTCAGTGACCACTCCTAATTTACTAGCTGCTATCGGTGTCCTATATGTCATTCCGAGAAAAAACAGAGAGAAAATCACTGCTCTATAACTTTTGTAGCTTTAACAAGGATTAAACGATATTTAATTTATACAGTGAAGAAGACTATGCAAAGCTATTTTGCATATTTGTTCTATTTATGCTATTTAACCCTAAAATGTGTGACATATACTGAGGGATACAAACATCTGAGAAGCTGTGGGGAGAATCAGTGAAAGTGTAGGTCTTATTTCTTGGTTTCATTTTGAAAGGGTGTTTGTTGTATATTTATTGTTGAATATTTAGATGTGGTGACTTTGTTTCTACATTCTTTGTTTAGCTCACAGGAAGCATTTAATAACTGCATGGCCGTCTGTAGTGGGAAATTTACTCACCCTCCAATAAAAGTTGATCTAGTTCACATATGGACAGTCGTGGCCTAATGGTTAGAGTCGGACTTGTAACCCAAAAAGTTGCGGGTTTGAGTCTCAGGTCTGGCAGGGATTGTAGGTGGGGGGAGTGAATAACCAGTACTCTCTTCCACCTTCAATACCATGACTGAGGTGAGACCCCTGAGCAAGGCACTGAACTCCCCACTGCTCCCTGGGCGCCGCAGCAATATAACTGCCCACTGCTCCTGGTGTGTTTGTGTTCACTGCTGTGTGTGTGCACTTAAATGCAGAGCACAAATTCTGAGTATGGGTCGCCAAACGTCACTTCACTTCATATTTACACATGTTGGAAGGCTTAAAAAGCTGTTGTTCAGCATTAGGTTTACATTGAAATTTTATTAATTAAATGCTTACATTTTTCGTAATCGGTCTCTAAATGTTTGTATCTCAGGGGATACATCACCCTTTTAGGGGTATAAATTAAGATATAAAAACATACTGTATATTTAGAATCTGTGATTTTGTGGCTTGTGTTTAAGAAAATCAAATCTCTTGTAATCTTGACAAAACACATGGTTGGAAAGGTTCCATATTTGGTAACTGTTTTGTAATCGAAATGATTGATTTGTGACAGAAAACTGCGTTTAAAAAAAAAAAAATCAATAGAGTTTGGGTGCCACCCAGTGGTTATTTGTGGCATAGTGTCCAAACAAAATCTCACAGGAAGCACAATTTTGTGATATCAGCTTCAAATTTGGAACATAACTTGATTAGACATATGGCTTTGATTTTATAGCAATTTTAGAGTGCAAAATTGTATAAAATATTTATTTAAAAGAAAAAAATATTATACTACATTATCTTTACTGTAAACAAACTTCTATAACTTTTTTTAATACTTTGTTTAAATGCTTTCACTTCAGCAATAATCTGCTATATGTCTTCTTTAAAAAGAGACCAACCTTAGGTCTGTATTCCAAATCATTCAGGAATTACAACCATGTTGTATCAAGCATTTATAAACAAGAGTCAAGTTTCGAAAGAAAAATCAAGAAATTGTATTTAGTCCCAATAAGATGAAAAATAGCAATAAATCAGTTTTCTGATGTCTCTTTATGGTTTTGCCCTTGACAAATTTAAGGTTTGATTCTGTTTGTAATTTTGAGGTAGCACCCCATCCCTAATAATCAGTCCTATATACTAAATAGAGTGCATTTGAAAATAAATGGCATTTGAAATGTGCAAAAGAAAATATCAAAATCAATACTGGTCATTGTATAATACTAAACAGGAGAAGAAAACCTTATTTTAATATCAATAATTCTATTGATTTACATCTGACAAGCCTTGAGTATACAAACTGATAAATATTTATATTTCATTTTATTATTAATATATATATATTATTTGAGTATGGGTCGCCAAACGTCACTTCACTTCATATTTACACATGTTGGAAGGCTTAAAAAGCTGTTGTTCAGCATTAGGTTTACATTGAAATTTTATTAATTAAATGCTTACATTTTTCGTAATCGGTCTCTAAATGTTTGTATCTCAGGGGATACATCACCCTTTTAGGGGTATAAATTAAGATATAAAAACATACTGTATATTTAGAATCTGTGATTTTGTGGCTTGTGTTTAAGAAAATCAAATCTCTTGTAATCTTGACAAAACACATGGTTGGAAAGGTTCCATATTTGGTAACTGTTTTGTAATCGAAATGATTGATTTGTGACAGAAAACTGCGTTTAAAAAAAAAAAAATCAATAGAGTTTGGGTGCCACCCAGTGGTTATTTTTGGCATAGTGTCCAAACAAAATCTCACAGGAAGAACAATTTTGTGATATCAGCTTCAAATTTGGAACATAACTTGATTAGACATATGGCTTTGATTTTATAGCAATTTTAGAGTGCAACATTTTATAAAATATTTATTTAAAAGAAAAAAAAAAGAGTATACTACATTATCTTTACTGTAAACTTAAACTTCTATAACTTTTTTTAATACTTTGTTTAAATGCTTTCACTTCAGCAATAATCTGCTATGTGTCTTCTTTAAAAAGAGACCAACCTTAGGTCTGTATTCCAAATCATTCAGGAATTACAACCATGTTGTATCAAGCATTTATAAACAAGAGTCAAGTTTCGAAAGAAAAATCAAGAAATTGTATTTAGTCCCAATAAGATGAAAAATAGCAATAAATCAGTTTTCTGATGTCTCTTTATGGTTTTGCCCTTGACAAATTTAAGGTTTGATTCTGTTTGTAATTTTGAGGTAGCACCCCATCCCTAATAATCAGTCCTATATACTAAATAGAGTGCATTTGAAAATAAATGGCATTTGAAATGTGCAAAAGAAAATATCAAAATCAATACTGGTCATTGTATAATACTAAACAGGAGAAGAAAACCTTATTTTAATATCAATAATTCTATTGATTTACATCTGACAAGCCTTGAGTATACAAACTGATAAATATTTATATTTCATTTTATTATTAATATATATATATTATTTATTTTTATTTTTTTTTGCCTGACTCATTAAAAAGAGTCATTAGCGCAGTATTCCAGGCACAGAATAGAGGAACGTAGATACTAAACAATGTTAACTGAACCAAAAGTCATGGAACTTGATTATTAATATTTTGAGACATACTCTGGAATTTTGTTATCAATACCTTTTGATACTTTCCCTCAAAGTCCCATGTAAAAGTCTCTCTCCATTCTTTAGTAAAGTCCTTACTCATGAATTGAATGGATACAATGTTATTCCACATCTGTAAAGCAGAACAAACCAAATTATTATAATAAAGTATACAGGTATAGATGATGGTCAGTTTAAATAAACATACTTGTACTGCATACCTCAATCTCTCTAGTGAAGTTGGCAGCCGTTTGATAACTTGTGTTTATAAGTATGCCTTGGAAGGTTTGTCCAATCCATCTTCTGACAGTTTGCTTGGCATAACGGAGTAACTCACGAGTCTTCTCAGAGAAAGTGTCTGTTTGTTGTGTTGTCTTTGGGTTGAACAAATGTCAGGCATATTGCGTCATTGTCTTCTGAACATCTAACGGCTTTAATCAGTTATTATTTGAAACAAAGATATTATGATCTCAGAATGGAATACCTGGGCAAATCCTGACACAGCAGCCACAAGGTTCATGCAAGCAACAGGAATATCAGTAAACGCATGACTGACTCTTTTGCAGATCATCTCTAGAAGTTTGCAAGCTGCTTGAATGCACTGAATGCCATAATCCTCATTCAGACAGCTATAAAAAAATAATGAAAGCTTGTTAACCAGTGCATATTGATAGGGCTATTGGGTTTTTTATTTGATTTTCTTAATTTTGTATTAGGGGTCCTGATAATATTTTAATATAATTTAATATCAAAAAAATTTAGCACATATCATCTAGAAACCCTCTTGAGAAAATGTTTTGCATATACATGCCAATGAAAAGGAAGTGGCCTTTTCATCATATACAGTATAACTGATGATATTGGAATCAACTTGAACTTATATTTTATCTTTATCTTTGCCCCAAGCCTTTGTTAATTTCTAACACTGACTGGAAGTAACTTCAACCAGAGTTTGCCATTTTACCCAGTACTGGAAAAAATTGCAATAAAACAGTTTTCACCTAAAAGATGATAACTGGACACCACTCAATGAATTAAAACATGCAACATAGGGCTAGTTTTTGTCATATTTTGCTGTTTTGTAATGTGTAAGTTTATGTGTTTGTCTTGTTCTGATCCTTTTTTAAATTGTTAGATGGAGCTATTTCGAAGGGAAACAACATATGGGTGATTAGCTCTGCCCAATTTCATGTTGTATTACTGGGCAGCTAATATTAATAAAATTCATATTTGGCATAACTCTGCTGGTATGGATTGGCGTAGGGTAGAGGCACACTTCTGTTCTTCTTCTAAATGCACAGATGTAACTTGTAGTAGGTCTTTTCTGGCTCCTGCTGATCGTACATGTTTTTTTTCTATCCAAAGGTGAGTGATTATTGCTCGTCATTCTTTCACACTCTTTTGAGCATTTTTAATATTTCTCCTAAACCTTGCTTCTTCATTGCTTCCAAACCCTTTTTTTTTTATTTGCACCATGGCGCAGTTTTAATAGGTATAAAATTCCACGGCATACCACTAAACACTAAAATATAGCAAAATTGCACAAACATGCATTGCTTCAAATGGCATATTAAAACTGGATATTATATTAAAAGTAGTATTCACATTTAATAGGAAACTTGAGCTAAAGTCTGGTAGGAACACAAGGTCATAGGTAGCTTTATGTTGTTAGTGATGATAAAACAGAATTACATATCATCGATGTTGGGCGGAAACCTCTTTTGCCCAAAATGTAAATGTTTTTTATTTATTTATTTTTATTCTCCTCCACTGGGTGTGGGTGTGAGTTAAGTAAAAAAAAAATTGGAACGTACATTGACTCATTTATTGGGTCTACCTAATCATGTTATGTGACAAAAACACAGCTATCATCTGAATTGCTTATCATTTCATAATGCATACTCATTCACACGGGGGTCACGGTTTGGCTAAAATATTTTGGCAAGCAACAAATAAACAAAATATTATTTTGATTTTAGTAAAAGAACTTTACCTGTATCTTTGTTCAAGCAAGTGAAGCTGAATGTGTTCCAGAATCTTCAAAACGCTCTGGGATAACATAACAGTCAAATATACAGGGTTCAGACTGCTATATTTTTCTAAGTTATATTACATGGTAATTTAATTTGTTCCAATTTAAATATATGTATGACTTTCTTCTTCTGATAGCTTGACACTCACTGTTGAAGTGCTGTTTGAGATTTCTGTGGGGCATTTCATGGTGAAAAGCTGCAGGATGTCCAGGAGCTCTGCATGGATGAAGGAGTCACACTCGACCAACTCATCTAAAGTCATCAAGTACATCCAAGACCGCGCCAGCAGTCTGTCCACCTCCACCAAGTGTGCATGTGCCTTCATGAGATCCAACATTGCCCTAAAATAGAGGGATTAAACAATGACAAGTCAAAAATCAGAAAAAACATTTTTCATGTTACTTTAAACTGAAAAGGTGGGTTCAAAGGTTTGATGATATCTACAAGAAAATGTAAAATTAAAACCCCAGGGGCCAGCTGCACCAGCTAGATGTAAAAAAAGCTGGGTGTAAGCCCTACGCGGGGCTTTGCAACGTCCAGCTTTACGATAAACATTTACACTTGTTGCACCAACTGAAACTATGATCAGGCGCAACTACGCCAGGCGTAGACAATGCGCGTCCACGCCGACACATTCTCCCGCAGTTATAGATATAGCTGAGACGACGTTCACGCCGCAATGGCTACAACTAACTACTAATAGGCCTATAGAACTGAATTGCTCAAGACATAACAAGTGAAGCCACTGCACCATGATTTCATTGAGTAAACATTTCCTAACAAGTCCGCGTTTTTATATCTGAAGTCTCCCTGCATTCCCATGACAGATTTCATCAAGGTTAAGTAAAATATAATAAATGTAATACAATGCTTCTCTCGAAAAGTTATTTTTTTTATAGCTGACTATCAAGTTTATGTACAATGAATGTCTTTCCTGAGGTAAATGTGACTTTGCGTGACATTTTGTGTTTTACTGGCGTCTTTCTGTGGCTGAAAAAACACGTTTATAGTTTGTGATAAAATTGACAGAATTTGAAAACTGATAATTTATTTCTGATTAAAAGTAACAAAGCACAAAACTTATTGCGATTATTAGATGGCGGGCACGCTACAAATACTGAATGGATAAAGACATGAAATATTTCCAGGCATTTACACTGTCGTTCTAAGCAAGATGTCAAATGGAGTTTCTTTTAATAATCCCAGTTCATATGCAATATTTTACTGCATAATTATAACATGCTGTACAGCAATATATTTTGTATTCAATTACTGTCGACAGTGTGGTAGGCTGTAGTCTACATCGAGCTTCGCGATTGATATCGTTTATCCTGCCCGAAAAGACCATAAACATTACAGTTCACGTCTGCAGTAATAATTAACTAACAGACATGAATCCTAAAAACGAATAATGTCCGAGCAAATCATGACTTTTCACTTTACACCTACCTCTGACTAGGTGTAAGATTTAGTCTCAGACGTAGCACTACACCGAGATGGTGCAACGGGTATAACTTCTATGCACGACTTAAAGCGCATTTTACATCCAGCCTAGTCTTACAACCGGGTGTACGTCCAGCTGGTGCAACCGGCCCCAGAAGAACATTTGGAAACTGTTTATTACATAGATTATTTCATACCTTCGATTTTTTACATACTCCAATTTGAGTCCCTGCAGGCCAACCCAGCACTTCTCATATTGTGCATTGACTTGATTAAGCACTGGCTGAAATGGTTCTGAAGTGCCTTTGAGAAGGTGTAGCAGTGGAATGACGATGATCCAATTGGACGTGTGCTCTGTTCTCACCCTGTTGATCAGCGCCTCCACCATGTCAGACAATCTGAAGCTGAAGAGGGAATCAAAACTATCAAGACCTCTTCTCCAAAAAAGCTGGACTTAAGCAGGGCTGCCAACTCTCACGCATTCAGCGTGAGACTCATGCAATGAGACTCATGCAACACTTTCCTCACTCTCTAGATGTGAACCGGTGGATCGGAAAGCAGAATCAGAATCCAAATCATAGTCAAAACAGGCAATGTTCAGATAAACAGGAGATTCAGAATTTGATCTTACAATAACAAACACTCAACAGATTCACTACACTCAGAATATCTCTCTGGTACGACACTCTTCAACATATTTCATAGTATTTAAGCAGTGATAAAGGCATTGCATTATAAATATACTTTATTTTAATGAAAATTATAATAATAAGAACTCAGATAAACCGTATATTGCCGTAGTCGTGTGTTTATTAGTCACGTTGAATCAATGAAAGCAGCTGAATCTTCCATTTATCCAACTACCGCTATAGGCATTTTCTGGGTTTCTTCTGCGAGGCGTATTTGGAGTTTCTCTGGCCTTCGGATGGAGTTTTACTACTGATCACAGAACCGTGCTTCACTGAAAGATACGCATGACAATCGCAGCTTCTGTCGAATCGCGATTTCAATTCCATTTCGATTTATCGTGCAGCCCTAATACAAACAATAGCAGAAAACAGTCAATCAGAACGCGAAACACGACGGTACGAAGTCAATGAGTCTCAAAGGCAGAAGACGAGTGTTTGGGGCGGTCCTTATATCTAGGTAAGGTGCAAAGTAGGAGCAATCACCATCTCCAGCTGGTTAACAGAGGCCACACCCATCCCTAGAACACAAACATGTCTACACACACACACGAGCAGAGAGATCAGATGCATACAAAAACAGCTCACAGATGCATATAATATCTCAAGGTCATAACAACAAGAAGATAAGGAATTATAAAAGTCTAAAGATATAGCCTACACCAAGATATATTTATATATGACTAAATGAATACAACAGTTTGATAATAATTGTTTAAATCAATATAATAATTGACTGACCCGAGGTATGTATCTGGATGATTGAGTAATATATATAAATACTGTGACCAGGGTTGGAAATTAATCGTTGTACCCACCAGCCACAGTGACTGGTGAATGGAAAATTACATTAGCCTAAATATTTTAGTAGGCAAAAAATTGCAAAAACACAATCACACAAAACTTTGGTTTCACAGTAAGAGTAAATAAGTTTGTGTGTGTGTGTGTTTAAAGCAGTGTATGGAACAACCTCTCTTATATATTGTATATACACAATACACTATAGCCTGTGTTCAAAATAACTGTATGATGGGTGTTTAAAATATTTGGAATTTCCATTCTTAAACAAACATGACCGTGCCTGAATGCACACCTGATATGGTGTCCAGTTCATTTGAAATGCTTACAAATATCAGAAGAAAAAAAAAAGATCGTATAGCCTTGGTCTATTTACTAAATTGTCACATTGAGAAGTTAATTTAGTTCTGGCATGAAAACTCTGAGAGTTTAGCATGGTAATATTAATGGCAATGATAATGTGTTTGGTCTTGGCGGAATAGATCTGGGGTCTCATTTATAAAATATGGAATTTACAACGCCTCATCTGCATATCAATTCCATGCATATTCCCATCCACGTGACACCATGTTTAATGCAGTTAAGGGTACAATATGTTAGGAAAATATGAGATACGGACTATAATGCCAAATGTGCTATACACATTAATTTTTATTGCTAAAAACCACCCAGTATCCTTGATATGTTTTAGAATAAATATATCAAAATATCCATAAAAACAAAACTGTTTAACATAGTTCTCAGATAAATATTTTACAATAAAGTTGACCTCTTTTTTTTCCACTGGCCAAATAGTATTTAAATTGTTTTAAACAATTAAATCAAATTAAATTTATGCAGTTTTTGCTGATAAGGTGACATCTTATAGCTATTTTTAGTGGAAATCTGTTGGATTCAGTGGTCGAACAGTCCATTCTCCGGTTTGAATAGGTTCAATACAACTGCAGCTGCACGGAGGTGTTGATGTCGTGTGAAGGCATCTCCACAACATTATGAAAAATAACACTGTATTTGAAGGATACAACTGGAAGAAAACTGTAAGGCCCAATCCCAATTCTATTTTATACACCTTCCAAATAAAATTGGCAAATAAAATCAACAACTGTAAAACAAAGCAACTGCATAATTTATTCATGCCGCAATGCA